AGCCTGTGAATTTTGAGCCTACATTCCTTCTTGTCTGAGTGAGCCTAGGGACAAATTGAAAAGTTATTGACTTGCAGCTCTGTCCAGTGCAGGACATTTGTTTGAAGGATGCTTATGACGTGAAAATAAAAGTTCTTAAAACCATTGCGTGAAATGGCCTGAAACACCACCATTTTTACTGACAGCTTAATTTGAGGATTTTTTGTTTTGTCTAATGTGTTTTGAATGTTAGATTTTTAAATGATGGAAATGCCTTTGAAGTGACTTCACTGGTTCTCAAATTCATGGGTGAAAGTGCATGTGGTTTGATTTATTTTTGGGGTGTTGTTTTTTTTTGTTGTTGTTGTTGGTTGGTTGTTTTTTTGGGGGGGCGGGGAGGAGAGTCTTGGGAAGGTGTTGTATTTTTTTTTATTGTAGCTTCCTTTAGACTCTTGGGGATGAGGGGCATTTGCCTCCTGTTTTTATCACATAGCTACCATTTTTACTGTTGAGGACTGGACAGCTGTTCTTGCCCCTAACTGTTACTCCACTCTCCCCAAAGCCTGGCAGCTTTTTCCAGCTTGCTGGTAAGATAGCTGTGCGGCACCACTCAGCCCTTCTGTCCCCTCTGCCAGGTGGGTGTATGTGCTGTTACAGCCTCATTCTTGAGGAACTGGGGAGGAGCAAAGTGGGAAATCTGAAATGGAGTTTTCTTGCACAGTGCTTCTGGAGTATCAGTTAATTTAACAGAAATTTCAATGGCATTTACTTGATGTAAATCTGTTGTATTACTTGTCTTGTGAATTGTCTTGTTCTTCAGGACAACCTGAAGTTAGCAGTGCCTGGTTAGCTGAGTTAATTTGATAGAGATTTCACTCCCCCCCTCCCCCTTTACCTGCTGTCTGTGCATTTAGTGAGAGAAGCAGTGGCTGTCTGAGTATCTGGCTCATAAATTTCAGTTGCAGTGGTTCAGGATTCAACAGATTGTCAAAGCTTGGTGTTGTTTTTCTTTTTTTTTTTTTTTTTAATATCCCTATATATGTGGGCTTTATTAAAATATGTAGATATCCTCAAGTTAGCTTGACCAAATGTATTGCAGTCTCTGTTTCTTGTAAAGTGTTTGTCCTGGGATTGCACACTGTAGCACATGGGTAGAGTGGTATCTGCAGCACTGAAAAAGAAAGAAAGAACAACTATTTGCTGTATCATTGCTGTGCTGCACTTGGCCCTGAGGCTACTTCTGAGGAAGCAAACAGTTAAATTTTAACTCTACATCCTGTTGATAAACTGTTTCTTTCATATGGTTTGAAGCAGATAGATAGTGTAGGCAGCTAATGATTAACAGCTCCTTCAACCTCCAAGCTTAATTTTGTTTATGGGATTAGCTGGCATGGACCTTAGCACCCAGTTATAACATCAAGGAAGTTTGTTTAGTTTAAATTTGCTTCCCAAATGAAACATGTTGTGCTTTTGGAAGGTCTGTCTTCTCCGAATCAGTATAGTGCTGTACTTTTTCTTGCTGGATTATGTTGTCTAGGGATGAGAATCCCATCCCCGTTGCCCAGATTTCAAATTACGCTACGCATTTATGTTTCAGCATAGACCAAGCATTATTGAAGCTGGTGTGACTGTTTGGTAGTGCTTGCTAACCTGTTAACACAAGCTGCTTTGCCATATTTTGCTCATCTCCATTTTTGATGTTTAGAAGTAGGTTTTGTGCATGAAATCATGAACTACTGCTTAGCTGTCTTATTACCATATCAGAGTGGACACTTACTCATAGCTACAGTTAACAAGTGTGGCCTTGAGCTTTGAGAATGGTCTAATTTGACTTGCCTGCTATGTGTGGCTTGTCTCTCTTGGGAATAAACTGCTGTCTGGCTGGATAGTTATGTTAACCTGTTTAAAATTGCTTGTGTTTTGGGTTTTTCCTCTTTTGGAAGTGAAAAACTTTGCCTGTGACTAAACAATAAACTTCCACATCAACATCAAGCAAGTAGATATAAATAAAAATATGAAAATGTACAACTGTTATGTTGTTTTGCATAATGATCACATAACAATAACATGCAGTCTTTATAGATCTAGAAAAAGTAATTTCTTCTTGAAAAGGTGAGATGCTGTCTAGTAGCTGATGGGCAGCATATTGCTCTGGGCAAAACATGCTGGGAACCTTTCTTTTGCATGGGGCAAAATACTGCCTTGCTTTTCCAGTGTACCAGATGTGGTAGGAGTTGCAGTCTCATTTGAGTTTAACAGTGCATTAGTGTCTTGCACAAGCATGCCTGCATGCAGTTCAAGACTTACATATGTGCCTGAAGTTGCTGACCCTGCACTGTGGTACAGGTAGGATTCTCTTTGCTTGGTTTACATTACTGAAATCTGTGGAAAGACTTAACAAATCACTGCTCTACATTTAATTTTGGATAAGCTGTCTGATGAAATTAATACATGCTCTTTTCCTGTTGTAAGGTGTTTTTTTTTTTTTTCTATTAACAAGAATTTGTTGCAAGATTACCTCAGTTGTTTTCCAAAGCATGTATGGTGCAGCACCTGCTCCTGGAATTTCTTATCCTCTGCTCTGGTAATTTATGGAATTTTAATTGTTTGTCACAGGGAGGAAAAGTCAGTCTTCATGGTCTACCTGCTAGGAGAAGATACATCTTTTTGTACTGTGAAGGGCTTTTGTTTCTTTTTATTTTTTACATCAATGTTAAGAGAACTCTTAGTATAAAGATGCATTTTTGTCCGTCCACTGAACAAAAAATGAACTTATTACTAACAACAGGTTCTGTTTGTGAGAATGAAGTAGAAGCATGGATTTATTTCAAGGAGTATAGTAGTATTTTAAAATACCCTCTTTTAAAACGTTGTAAAATGTGCCTTAAATTGACATTCCCCTCGGCCTCCTATACTGCTATATTGTTTAGGTGACACTACATTTTTTTCTTCACCTATGCAGTGCTCATGCATTATGAAATATGAAGAGTTGCATATTATTAGAGAGTTCTGTAAGATAGTTTGAGACCTTGTATTATTATTGAACAAAAGGGTTCAGGATGTATAGAGGAATTGAAAGAGAGATGATCCAAGAACATGTAGCACAGCACTCCGATGATGATTCTTGATCTTGCTGAAAGAGAACTAAAAGGCAGAACTAATATGCATATATTAGTCTGTAAAAGGAAAAGAAGAAATAATAGCTGCAGTTGAAGAAATATGAGTAGTCTTGTTCTTAAGTCTTCACTCTGTCATCTGAAATTGGCTGCCAGACCAAATGTGGGTGCAGTGGCTGGTATCTGATACTGAAGTAGTGGTAAATACTTGATGTATAAGATTGTCTTACTTGGAAAGGTGCTTTTATTCCTGACTTTGGGACTTTTCAGAGCGTGAGCATTTAGAACAATAAAACTTGCTCCAAAGTTTTATTGGGCTATTTGGTTAACTTATTCCAAATAAGTTAATGCAGACTTACACGTTTAATGTCTTGCATTGCTCTGGAAAATCACTGCTCTTATTTCTATTAAGATTCAGTGTGTTTCCAAAGTGAAAGAACCTTTTGCAATGTTACAAGTTGTCTGTTATTTAGCTTTAAGCTGTGAAAATAAGCTTGCTCAGTATCACTGCTCTTAGGTTCTTCTCCAGTTGTGTTCCTACTTGTAACCTGCAATGCCATGTATCAAATCTGTTAAAGAGGATTTTATTTCTTTCTCTACTTACTCAGAACTTAAGGTTATTTGAATGTGTGCACTGGTTAATGAAAAAAAAAAAAAAAAAACAGTTCAATTGAAGGTATTTCATAGTGAGCTCTGAACACTGAATGCTGGCTTTCTTAGAAATGGTAATTTCCTGGATGCTTACCTTGCTTTTTTCATCTTGCCTCATATAGAGGTAGAATGAAATATAAAATAATTTTGTGCTTCATCTTTGACTCTGCTTCACTAAACATAACCTTACACATCACAGTATCCATTTTAGATCAGGCCATTTCTAGAGACATACCCAAACAAGTACTGCTAGACAAGGATTTTTCTTTCTGAACCTTAACTCTCTGTTTCTATGACAGTCTCTCCAGGAGGAATTGATGCTTACAGACTGAGAATTGTTTTCCTTAGTGAAAAAAGTTGTGGCTTGGTAGGTTTTGTTCACCGTCACTTAGAGTGGTGGGTTTTGTCAGATACCATCTCCTGCAATGAGATCCTGAGGTTCTAGTAGGTACGTAAATCAGTAAATACAATCCCCGAATCTTGAAATAGGCCTCCTAGAGGTGGGGCTTCCATCAAGCTTCTGATGCTTGATTTGTACTTGTTCTCCTTCAGCTAGGGTTTAAGCGGTGGTTATATTGCATGTAGAAGCATGTGTCTGTTATGTGAAGCTTAGGATGGCCCTTCACAGACTGCTGCACTGACCTTTCTTTGTCTCTTCAGGTATTTCCTAATAAAATGATGGAGCTCAGCATATTTTATATTCCTTTACTTGCATCTTTAAGGGTCTATATTATTCTTTTAGTAAAGCTGCTATAAACAATATGACTGAAACTAGCCTCAGTGCTGAAATTAGGCCTTCTCTGTGCAGACTCTTACTCTGATATGCACTGATGGCTTTTCTGAAAGAAATTACCACACAGACTTCCCAAGCTTAGTTCCCCTCTGGGGCTACAGGCAAATTGCTTAGCTTGTCTGTCCTGGTTTCCCAGCTGTGGAGTTGGAGTAATTTATGACTAGTGTCAGTCATAAGGATGTTGAGGGTTAATCTGCAAGGACTGTATCTGCATAGTGTCTTTAGAGTGTCAAAGCTGTAATGTATAATTGTAATTTTATTATTAATATTGGTTATTTCATTAAAGTGTAATTTTCAAACAGTGTTCATGTAGATTAAACTAATTTCGTCAATAAACTGGCATCCTTCCAGCAGAATTAACATGGTTCAGACTCTAATACTCAAGCCTAAACATGTAGATAGCTCTGTAAAGAAAACAGCAAATGCCTAAAGAAACCCATACTTTCTTGTTTTTAATCTAGACTGTGGACATCCATAAAGAAAAGGTCGCTCGCAGAGAGATAGGCATTTTGACGACCAATAAGAACACATCAAGAACTCACAAAATTATAGCACCAGCGAACATGGAACGGCCTGTAAGGTATATTCGAAAACCTATAGACTACACGGTGCTGGATGATGTTGGCCATGGCGTAAAGGTAAGAATAACTGGACACTTGAGGACTCCAAGTAACACAGACCAGGAGATAGGATCAGGGCAGAATGTTACTGACTTTAAAACGTTTAGTTCATTTATGGTAGGAAGGATTACGGTTTTGATATTGCTCCCACGTGCAAACATTTAAATAACAAAATGTTTTATAGTGAGCGGTTTTTGAGCAATGTTTGCCACAACATTGTGATTATCAGTGGTAGTCACAGTGTCTGGAAATAATGGCTCATGATCTTAGGCTAATGATTTGTCCAAAAAGCCATGACTGACTTAAAAACTTATCACTCCTTCCTTCTCTGATTGAATTGTCTCTACCGCTCCCTTTATTTATTTTATTATTGAGAAAAAATAAGTCATCTGTTATGGGGAAACTGGCTGGTGGGGTTTTTTGTTGGGCTTTTTTGGAGGGTGGTCAGGAGAAAGGGGATCTCCTAGTTAGCATTTAAATCTCAGTGGCATTTGATGTTTCACTCCCCTTGGTGCTTTCAGCCAGCCTCGTTTTCCTTTTCTTTAAATAAAAACCTTCATAAATTGATGTATACCTCCCTTGAAATGGTCATAGTTGAAATGAATTAATATAACACTCTTTGCTCCCTGGACATCTTTTTACAAAAATAACTTTGGATACCCCTAGAGCAGGCCTTCCACATATATTCATTTTGGAACAATCTTGCCTTGAATGGCATTAAAAAGATTTTATTCAACACTCAGGTATCCACTAGAGCTTGATGTGCTCTGGTCAGTCAGTTGTGCAGCTAGATCAGCCCATCAGGTGCCCTTTGAATCCCTGAGCTCTTGAGGAACAGATCTTTCAGAATTATTCAAAACAGAAGAGTGCCAGGGTACCTCCTGCTTTGTAGTAACCCTCTGAATGCCCAACACAAGTTAGAAAGCAGCTCTGTACCGTGACAGCTCTAGGCTATGAATTAATGTCGTGACTTTGGACCACCTGATTTTTTTCTTTTGTTTGTAGCTAAACCTGTAACTCTTAGGGTTGTTCCACACTAATAATTTAAGCCAGATTGGGTAAAGCACAATCCTATGTAGTAGCCTTAAATACATGCCCTGAATTGCTGTAAAATAGAAACACAGGTCAAAGAAATTGATATTTTTTCAGTACAGTCTCTGCATTCGAGGAGAGAGCTCTATGAACAGAGAATACAGGAATCCACAAATTCAGTGTCAGTATATTGGTTTCTGCATTTAAGTGCTTCAGGGATCCAGTGCTGTAGAAGACTTTTAAAAAAGTAGAATAATTACTGTAAGTCTCTGCAGCTGATGCTTTGTTGAACTAGTTTTATTGTTCATGCTCCAAACAGGTTGCTTGATCCATAAATGCTGAAGTTGTTAAGGTGTAGCAGTTGCATTTTCCAATATGAGTGTTTGTTTTTAGGATTACTGGTGTCTCTTTTTATTAACAGGGCCCTATTTGTTTAGGGGGTGGAAATGAGGTGCTGTTTACCTATTTCTAGGTAGCTCGTATGGAACATTTTTAGTAAATTTTTTACTAAACTGATAGTGGATTAATTCTATATTAAACACTATAGAGGTTAAATAGCTTCCAGTAATAAGCAAATTATCAACGCATTACAAGTCAGCTACAAATTACATCTTGGTTATCTGCTTAATGATTGTGGAAGGCATGAAACACTTAATAGAAAAATGATGTTGGTATTTTCTATTTAAACTTGTTACGCAAATTAAGCTGCCAGCCAGGCCTCAGGAATATAGTTCAAGATGGCTGTCATGCATTTGATACCTTCACCAGTGTTGATGTTCACTGGACACACTGTTGAGAAGAGTGGGCTGAGATAGTGAATGACCTAATTGTTTTAGCCATCATATTACTTGGGTTCCGAGAGCATGACACAGATTATAGCTCTGAGGGAAGTAGCTTGCTTTGTCTGCAAACCTAGTTGTAGCTGGTGCTGTTTTAAGAAAATCAAACCAAAACACCTTAAACTGGATTAGGTCCTGTTGGAAGTCAGCACAAATAGCAGATGATGCTGAGAATCCGAGTTGTCTCTTGAACTTCCAAATTAGCAGGAAATGTACAATAAATTGATTTACAAACTTTGTATTGTTCAGAATGGTCTTAGAAGATGCTTCAGATTATTAAGTCTTCTTTTCTTGACTAAAGATTTCACCCCAAGTTGGACAGCAACATGTCCGATGAGGACTAAGAAACCATGTTTTTCTAGAGGAAAAGAAGTTTGAGTTCTGCCTAGAGCAATTGTTGATTTGACTAAGTTGCAGGTCCTTGAATGTCTTCTGCTGAGGCAACTGTCAGTAAAGTACAGTACAACACAGACATTGACATTTAAGTATTAAATATAATGCAACACTTTGAAATGTGTAGATGACAATTTATTGCTGCTAACGGGACCCTGTTGTGTTCCGGTGCAGGTATTGATAAAAAAACAGAAAGGGAAAATGCAAGGAAGAGAAATCAAAGATACAGGCTGGATTATAGCTTGTTTCTGCTTTTATTTTATGAAATACTGATCCTGGGAAAAATGTCATTAAAATATGAAGTGTATTTTAAGTGTATATAAAAAGTGTAAATAAAAATATTGTCTCATGGAATTTGGGGGGGAAAAAAAAAAGGGGGGGGTAGTTCTCAGAGTAAATAATGTCTTCATCTATACATCTTCCATCTGAGCAAATGCAGAAACACCTCCCATGCATACTCACAGCTCATTTTCTTTGTGTATTTTCTTTTCACTGCTTCTCATGGCTGTGTACAGTGGACACACAAACAGATGCCTCTGCTTGAGGCATAAAAGGGCTCTACCTGCCTCCCTCTGTCTCACATGTGCGCAGCGATTTTTGTGGGGGCAGATGATGAGGGTTGGGGTGGCAGTGATGGTAAGCAGCTGCTCTCTATAGCAGGTTTCCTCCCTGATGGGAGATACTTCTTTGGGAGGCAGTGCTGTTTCCTTCTCCAGCAGCTCCTTGGTAGAAAAGCTTTTGTGGAGCATCCTAGGATCACAAAGGTGCTTTCTCCTTTGGCCTGAAAGCTCCATGGCAGCCTCAAGCTGCCCTGGCTGCTCCACTCCCTGCCCCTTCCCTTCACAGGGACAGATACAGATGAAGTTTCCAAAAGGAGTAAAGTTGTATGTTTGTTTTGTTGTTTTGTTTTTTGTTTGTTTTTGTTTTTTTTTTTAATATACATGCCCATGAAACCAAGGCTAGCATCAGTCAAAATCAGGAAAGCTTTTAAAGCTGATTAGCTAGTGAGAAGACTTTCCCCTGCAACACAGATGTTATGTGTAGGTGGCTCCAAGAAACAGAGGCAAGCATTTTTGCTGATCTGTTAAGTAGTTGCTCAGCTGTCACCCTCTGGGGATGGGGTGATGTAGCTGAAGTGGTTCTTGATAAAGAAAAGTAACTGTTGTGATGTGAGAGCCTACCTTCCTGTGTAGACCTTGGTTTAAAATTATTAGGCAGAGGCTACTTTAACATTTCCTTCCATCTCTTCTTTTGTGAAAGGAAAAAACCCCAAAAAGTAGTGTGCCAGCAAATAAATAGGTCAAATACAATTACTTGTACAGAAAATCCTGAGTTTAAGAGGGGAGAGAAGGAGGAGGAAGCTTGGAAGCTGCCTTAAAAGTCCTGAAGCTGGCCTTTATTTATTAAAATCTTTTTTTTTTTTTTTTTTAATAGGAGGCAGGTGGAATTGCAGCCATTTGTAAAATGGCGGCTAAATAGGAAATTGAAATGATGCCTTCTGGTAAAGGCAAATAAAATGTTGAATACATGCTAAATTGAAATGCCTAATAGCTGTAATTGGATAGAGTTTGTTTTATGGAACTAGTAGTTCTACGAAACGGAACTTGAATTGCATATGACCATTGAGCACTCTTCAGCTTTGTTTTAAGAAAAAATTTGGAATTTTGTCACTGTAAAACACTTGCATTTCAGTGCATTAAAACTCAGAAGTTTCCTAGCCCAGGAAGTTAAACAGCAGTTAAGCATTCAGAAATCTTTCTGAAGCAAGTAGAAGTTGGAAGGACTCCCTTAAAGTAGGGATTGGGCCAAAATTTACCAAATACTAAGCTTATAGAAGGGAGCCTTGCTGTCACCCTTGTTAGGCTTCTCAGCCTACCCTACTTACTCACCTGCAGTCCTCATGCTTTCATCTGTGTCAGTGCAAAACAAAAATGCAGATTGAGGTACTGATGTGAGGGTGGAAGGCTACCTAATTGTGCCTGCTTCCCCTTTAGGATAAGGCCTTTTATTGTGTTAACCACTTGAGTATTAACTTTTAAATAATTAATTGTAATAAAGTAGTGAGGCAGGGATCCTGAACTGGATCCTCTGCTGCCTTTGTCCCTATTAGCTTCTATCAGACGCTCACTCTTAAAAGGATGTCATGTTGCCAATTTCATTAATGTCACATCATGCCTCTGAGGTCATGACCAAACAGTAAATATTGCTGTAGGGTAAAGAAGGCTTCTCTGGGGGAAAAAGTAACTCTTCCTGTTGCCAACTCTAATGACTCGATTGTGAGTATTGACACACTGTGCTTTTTAATAGGGTACTTACTACTGGAAATTCAGAAGTGTGGTAGTGTCATCTGATACAATGTAGGTTTCAAGCCTTTCTGCTTGCAAAGAAAACTCAAAACTGTGAGGTCTCTCTACTTTCTAATTTTGAAAAGAAATTTTTCTTTTACATTAACCTTACTTTGTTTTAGTTAGATTCAAAGATTCCAACTCAAAGAATTCAAAAAAGTATTTAAAGGCAGGAATCTGTGTGCCTTTCTCTGAACAAGACTACTGAGTGCTGAGGGAACAATATTAAGTTTATCTATCATCCACAAGTGGGTTTTTGTATGCTAATAGCACTTTAATATGTAAAAATATTTTAAGTCACATTTCAAATTGACTTGAAAATTTTTGCTTGCTCAGTTTGGAAACTTTTTTTTTTAAAAAAAAAAAAGGGAAAGAAGCAATACTGACAATCTGCATCTGGTCACTGTTAACAGAAGACTAGGTATTTACAAGGTTGCAAATAACACTGGGAGAGGGTTTAGTTAAAAGATAAAGGTAAAATTTCACTGAAGGGAGACTTACCTACTCACGTTCAATTTTGAAAGAAATACTAATTTGGAACCTAACTTTCTCAAAATCATCTGCCTTATAGTAGACAATAAGGAAATAAAGGAAGAAAAAAAAAAAATGGCTTCTGACCCATTCTGATAAGAAAATTGAGACACACGAATGATTTCTTTAAAACTGTACAGAACTAGTGGCAGAAGTGTTTGTTACCCTGAGTAACACACATACACCCACGTACATTCTGCCTTCTGAAAAACATCTTTGATTACATATTCTCCCTATCTTGATTTCTGTAAGGAGTCATGTCCTAGACTTGGTATTTCACTGTATCCTTTCCTTAGGCATCCCATACCTTCATGTACAAGTACCCTTCCAGGCTGCTTTTCTTGCTCTGACTGTGTCATCTTGTAGTATTCCAGAACTGCTCCACTGATGAGACAGGAGGCAACCTTGTGCAAAAATCTATGAGGATGCCTATGGGGCAGTTGAATTGCCCAGCTGCAGATACATAATAGCACTTCAAAAGGTCTTATGGCCAGCTGCCTTTCTGTAGGGATGTCTCTGATAATTCTCCCTTGACTAATAAAGGAAATAACTTTTTAAGTAAAAGGGGAGGTTGACTAAAGAGTCATCAAGAGCAATCATGTTTTTTCTATTGTGGTTGATGACTGTGATTACTGGTTAAAGATAACAGATCTAAGGCTGGTTATTGCTTTTACATACTCAGGTTCTGAGTTTTCCAGACACTTACTGAAGATTAGACTGGTGTGGTTTCTAAACCTTTGTTTCCATTGATCAGTATTTCTATTGGATGGTCTTTAATGACGGCTTTCAGTGATCCTAGGTATGTCAGGATATAGAGTAAAATCGGCTCTTTAAATTCAGGAGAAATATGGAGCGACATATAGCAGTAGAAGTACAACCAACACGCAGAGAGATATTAAGTTTCTGCCATCTGAATTTTGAGAGTATATAGCTGAAATGTGCAGGAGAAACTTGCTAGATGTCAGTGTGATAAATTTACTCCTGTGTGCAAGTGGCTTTTTGTATTTCTGTGCTTATACATACATTTGCTCACATAAATGAGTTTTGTGCCATGTCCCTAGCCCTAGTTTTCCAAACACAGTTTAGAACTCACATAATAACTTTCTGGTTCCCTGAATCATGATTAATGTTCCCCCATGACTTGTTACTTGGCATGGAAACTATTAAAAACATTTAGTTAGATGCCTGCCTCCTAAGGCCAGCCAGCAGAGTCCCTCAAATGTCTGGACATCCTTTGGCTACCAGTAGATACTTGTGATTGCCTCACACCCTACCCTTTCATGCTGTTCTTGGTCTTGTCACTTTGGCCTCAGTTACAGAAATGTGCAGTACTGCCTTTGTCAGCAGGTATTTTTATACTGTTTAGACTACCAGGACGGAGTGTGCTGGAATTGCCAAAATAGTTGCCTTAAGCAAGTAAGCATTGTACTTGGCACTTACAGTCAGTGCTTGACTGTCCGAAAACATTGCTTGTCCTGTCCAAACCCACAGCTAAAATTCTCAGTCCAGATGTTCTGAATTCCTAGCATCAGTTACAGATGTATCCTCCCTTTTGGCTTTGATAAATGCCTTGCATGGCAGTTGCAAACACCTGTTTTGCCCACTGCCTCAATTATGTTACTCCTGTCCAGCCCACTGCTGGCTCTCAGTCCTTGGCCAGCCTGCTGTCCCTCACTGTCAAACCCCTGCGCATCTGCCACTGCCCTAGATCTTTTGGAAATGCAGCGAGATTGTCTCCTGTTTCTTGAACCTGGGACTGTGGTTTCTTTCTCTTAATAGCTTAATAGGTTGTGTCAACTCTTAAAACTTTACCCAGGACTGCCACATGCCTGTAGGGTTTTCCCTGGAAAGGTAAAATTGTTATGCTTGCTTCTTTTAAAACATCTCTCTGCTGTGATGCTTGCAAGAAACCCCAACCAATACCACTGCTTGCCATGCTATCTTGTTTCTGAGAACATCCTGGTCTGTCTAGTTCTCTGCCTTGGCATCACAAGCATCTCCAGCAAGCCTACACACTGTGGTTTTGTTCTCTTGTGTACGTCATCTAGGATGCTGGTATCTGGCTGAAAACGGTCTCCTGTGTTTTCAGTAATACAACTAGCAGGAGGAGAAGGGAGTTCATGGTGCTGCTCTTCATTTGACTAAGCTTTTTTTCCTTTGCACTTCCTATCTCTTATTTTATAGATCCCTCTCAGAACAGTCTCTTCCCTCTTCAAGCTGTGAACCGTATGCATGCTGTTGCTTCTCTTCCTCATGCCCTGCATTCCCCTCCTGACTCACTGACCTTTCTCAGTACTGATCAGGCAGTTGGTGATAGTCATGTTCTGCCAACTGGCTGGCTGGCTTAGAGGCATTTCTAGAGATGCCTGAACCTACATTAAACATGTACCTACTTTTACTTCTGGTTTTCTGCTTTCTTTTTATTCTATTATTCATAAAATCATGATGAGTCTAGACCCTGCTGCCTAAAATGTTCTTAGTTTCAAGCAAATTTTTTTAATTGCTTAGAAAGCACTACATATGGTTTTCAGACCAAGAAATGCAGCAAGATTGACCGCATAAGCTCAGCCAATAAATACAAGAAAATGTCTCCTCTTAATTAGCTTATTAACCGTGATTAAATAGCCATATGGTTCATCTCTCCGATTCATTTGCTTTCCTCCCTTCTGTCTTTTAGATCAGGAGTTCCTCTCCCATAAGAATCCCTGTTCCTTTTGTGTTCCTTCTTTCTGTGTTTTCCTGCCCATATGAGTTTTGTTTATATTGACAGCAACAGAGAGGACACGTACAGAGCTTTTTACTTATAGAAAGTGGTATGACTATAGTTACTAATTCTTCTGAACAATAAAATGTATGTTTCTGTTTGTATATTAACTGGTAGCAAAGAGAAGAAGCTCACCTGATGTAGTGGTAGATATAGGAATAAAGGTTAAGAGCTGTTGGACTTCAGATACGTGTTTAGTATGTTAAACACTACTTAGCAGTAGAAAGGTTTGAAATAAGATGAAGATTCCTGAATCATTGCTAGATACTGATATTCATAATGTTGCTGTAGCGGAGGCAGAATGTAACAGTGATTAAGGAGGAGGTGGAAAGACTCACCATAAGTGCTGAGTGACGCTGCATCAGGGAAGGAAAGAGAGGAAGCTTTTTGGTTTTACATTTTTGAGGCAGGCAAATTTAGTATTAGAGGCTGGGTAAGAAACCATACCACCCTTCCTTTTAAGCCTTTAAAAGGTTTCTATCTATGGCTGCTGGGGAGGGATGGGACCAAGAGTTTCACTTCTTGGTCTCTTAACAAATTCCATGTATTATGCCATTGTCCTTGGCAACTGGTGTAGTAAGGGGAAAGGGTCACATATTCCTGTGAGAGGGGAAAGCAAATTTCATTGCTACAAGCCTGTTTTAAAAATATAATCCTTGGGAGACTACCCCGGCATTGTGGAAACTGAGCCTTTGTGTTTGTTCATGAAGTATGGAAGGACAGAAGTGGTTTAAATGCCTTAATTCTGCCACTCTGCTGATGAACCTCTGCCCAGACTGCGAGTGAATGGGATGACCTTCAAATTTACTTACCACAGCTCAACTTTTTCACATGAATTTTGGAGCATGTTTTGTGTTTCTGTTCTTGTAATTATGAATAACTTAAGAGCAGTGGCTTTCAACCTCTCTTGATTTGTAAACTCCAGCTGTTTTTCAGTGTTTTTTCAGACCCTGTCAGAAATCTCACATATGCATATTGCTGTATAGCATGTTTTGATTATTTTTTTTTTATGAGTTCATGGATGCCTTTAAACTGCTCTATGTTTCTTGGAGGAGGAGGATGAGAAGGTCTAAACTGCAGTTTGAAAAGCTGTGCATTAGGAGGCTTGTTCTAGAAATGACAGTTTATTTCAAAATAACCTCAGAAAAATATTTGGGATTATTTTATGTTTTGGGGTTTTGTGTTGTGCTTGCTTTTTTGAACTGATGAAACTAACCCTTTTCCCCATTACCAAAATGAGAGTCCTCCCCCCAGATAAAATTAGAGAACTCGATTTGAATTTATTTAAAATTTTACATTTGTTTTCTTTATGATCCAAGTTTTCATATTTTTTTTTTCTTCTGCAATCATGAAAGCTGTAAAAATGATACAGTGGAGTCATATAATAACTTAATTCAAAGAGCTAAAATTTCAGAATAACAATCATTAGAGCACTGACAACACAGTTTTGAGCAGCCAGTGCTGTTCTAGGCTGAATCAGATTTCAATCAATAAGCCAGAGGTGAAAGGCGCTGCTGCTCATCCTGTTGGAGAACTCTCTTTATTCCCTTTATTTACCATTCAATGCAGCAGCTAAGATTTCTTCAAAACACATGAAGGTTAAGTGTCAAAACAACAGGCAACTCTATTCTGTGCTTTATAGCTGAAACTGTGGTTTTGTGAACAAATTCTCAAGTGCACGTTGCCATTGAAATAGCATTGATTTGGGTTTGGACTTGAATGGTCAGCAAAGGGCTTTTCAACCCTTTGCTGCCCATGAGAAGCCTGGCAAACAAATCTGGCAAAGCTTAGCTAAACTTTGTTTTGACACAAGTGTTTTTCCTGTGGTCACTTAAATAACTTTCAGTGACTAAGTGAGCCAGTAAAATCTCTGTTAGTGTACTGGGATGTAGCTAATTATCAGTAGACACAAATGATTTTTTAAAAAATGTGATTATCTGTAGTTTAACCTGTCCTATCAGTTGTGATCGATCTGCCATTAATTTTCTACCTTTTTCCCCCCTTTTTTGCCAACGTTAAGTGGCTAAAAGCCAAGGTAAGAAGTGTTATTTCTCCTTTGACCCACAGTGCCTCATGTGACTGATAGTAGAGGCTGCAGAGCCATTAAACTGAAAACTAGTGCTCTCTTATGCTCTCCTCTGCTTTTCATAGGATATTTAGATTAAACATGCTATACTTGATTTTTTTTTTATTTACAGCATTTAGCATGTGTCAATATATCTGCGATACATTGACATCTGCATTTATACATAGATAAATTAATTCCTCTAACACATGTAGTGCTTTGCTCTGAATTCAGTAGACGCCTTGATTCCCTTCACTTACATTTTTTGCAGGAGACTTCCCAGACAACCTGAATGACTCTGCTAGTCAAACAGCAGGAACAAATTGAGAAATTCTGGGCCCATGCTGACTGTCTTGTACTGTCAGTGTTAAAGTTTGATTTAAATTATTAACACCCAAACGGAGATAAACACAAATGTGTCTTCCCTTTAAAGAAAAGAGAATATAAAAGATTTGTGCACGAACCTGTCAATTGCTGACCTTTCTGATATCTGCTGTAAATTAATAGCAAAAATAGCATTAAGCTTGTATTTAGACTCTTTGTATTTATTGGTATCTGCCTTGTGTGTAGCTGAAAACTTGCTGTTTGACAGCTGTCTGGGAATTCTCACTTCATATTCTTACACTTTTTTTTTTAAAAAAAAGCTGTCAATAATAGAGCTGCTCTGTTATAAAAATAAAATAATGTTTTCCCTCATTTCAGCATGGAAATAACCAGCCTGCAAGAACTGGCACCTTGTCAAGAACAAATCCGCCTACACAAAAACCACCAAGTCCTCCCATGTCAGGCCGGGGAACTCTGGGGTAAGAATGAAGAGTGCTTGGTCGTGCCTGTGTAATAGAAAGTTTTAATTGTCCTGATGTTGGTGTTTTTTAAATACATGGATAGAGGCAATTCTGATTGCCTTTAGGAAAAAAACACAATTACCTTTCCTGTATAAACCCTTCCAGCTGCATTGACTCTTATTTTCATGATGACCATGATTTTGGAAGAATGTTTTTTCATAGGGGAAGGATTTATTATAGATATAGGTAAATGAGGAGGCTATTGTTATTCCTGATTTTTTGAAGAAATCCTTAGTGACATAAAAGAATATTAATAAGGCTTTAACTTCAGTGGGGGAAAGACTTCATTGTTAAAGTTTTTGTCTATCAGTTCCTCAGTATTGTAAGTAGTATGAAGTGGCTGTTGGTACCATATTTGTTGCACTGTCTAAGCAAAATTTGTGGCATTGTGAACACATTGGCAACATCGATTCTTGCACGCTTGTGCATTTTCGTTTTTATGCTTAAATGAGGAAGGATTTTGCTATTACTGAGTCCCACTGTGACCGGAGTTCCCTGCTGTAGCATCTGTTTTGCTGCTGTGGACCGGTGGGGAGTGAAATCTGCTTATCTTGATGTGCCAACAAGTAGTTGTTGCTAGAGACCAAAACATTAATACTTGAGAAGCTCAGAGCACATGCTGTATGGTTTTGTCTGTCCAACTGTGCAACATCTTACAAAAGGCATCCTAAACAAGACCATCTACCCATTTGTCACTCACAGTCTTCATGCCGTGGGGAACTGAGGCACTGTAAAGCTGGCTGGCATGGTTGCATTGGCTTTGGGTGTGTTGTTTGGGAGAGGTGGGGAGCTGGAAAAATGAGGAATAATGGGATGGAACAGGATGGGGATCTGGAGCAATGGTCAAGGAAAATTAGAAGCAGCAACTCCTTTAGTCGAGGATTTAGTGGTTTTTAATCCCAATCTGATGCTTTGCTCCTTCATGATGGCAATATTTGTTGTGTATTCTGCAGAGAAATTACCCTAGAGGTTTCCTCAGCATGTTTTGTGGAAATTCCCGTTGCTCAAGGGCATGCAATCAGTATTCCAATTGTCTCTCTTATCCCAGCTGAGAGAGTTGTTCATCAGCCCTGAGAAGCTGGGTAGTGCTTTCATGTCCTATTGGACATTTGCTAGTGGAACAGCATTGATGGTGAGCTGCCTCTCTCTAATGCTGCCCCCTGAACGAGCCAGAGCTGTTTGGTTGCTTTAGCTGATGCCTGTTAAGGATTAATCAGCTGAATGTCATTTCCAGATGAGCTTGACAAGAGGCAGCAGTTGGCTGAGGGGGAGGAATAATGTGGGTTCGTAACAGAGATATCTATCTGCCCTTCTTGTTCAGGAAGTACAGCTCTTGTCTAGAGCAGCCAGTGTTCTGCCAAAGCATGAAATACCATAGTCATGACTGTTTCCCTAATAGATGCAGAAAAAATTGCTAGGAACCGCAAGGATACCACTCTTATTCCTTTGATCCAAAAAAGAGATAAGCTTGGTGTGTAACAGGGGCCTTTAAGTGTGTGCTGCCTATTGTGCAGCTTGTCCCTCCAAGGCAGGACTATCTAAAGGAACATGGTGGGGAGGGAGTCCTGCACAGAAATCGCATGGGCTGAAAAGGATAAAGGGACTGCAGGAAGCAGGGGTCTCTTCACCACACCAGGGAGGGACTGTGGGTAACCTTGGATGCTCAGGTTGGAAGTACCACAGGAGAATGAGTTACTTGCTGGAGCTGGATGGAGGGAGTAGCTGCAGTTCTGCCTTGATGGTCCTGGGACAGAGCAAAGCCTTGGACTTCCTGTAGCCCTCCCTGGTGACAAGGGGCATCAGCACCGCACTGAAGCATCGGGGGACAGTGAGGTCAGAGTGCTAGGCAGTATCAGGAAAGAGTTTTCCTCCTCTGCATAAGGCTGTCAGAAAAAGGGAAGGATTGGAGTTGAGTGATGGAAATAAATTGGTTTTTACTTCTCTGGTGCTTAGGAGTTTGAGTTCTTCAATGAAGCTGAGAAGAACAAAGATGAATCTGAGGCACGGCTGAACCTGAGGATGTAGTGGGGGGTTGCTTTTGACAGTATTTTTCAATTGTGCAGGCAAAAGAGTACTACAGAGCTGTAGTAGTTCCTATTGCCAGTGCATTCCAAGGTAAAATATTTTAAAACATTAGTTTGCAAGGTTATTTCTGTTGGAAGAACATTTAAAATCCTCCCTGCTTATCATTGTATTTGTCTGTATTTAGAGCTGTATCTCTTACAACTGGAATACAAAGTTTCTCTATTTTTCCCACGACTGATCTCTTTTGGCAGATCTATAGGTGGTGGCAGTCTGCATATTAAAATCATCTGGAGTTCTTTATATAGACAGAATAATTTACAAACACCACAGCGCATGCAAACAATTATGGTATTTCCACTTTTCTATGAGAGGCTTTAATAATAAAATGTTATAGTTAAAATTTAGTACTGTTTTATTCCATATAGTAAAAAGGAAGTCAGTAAATTTCTTAAAATACCAGGAAGCTGTATCACTTACCAACTCAGTTATAATCAGTAGTTGAACAAATGATTAAGTGCCAGTAGTTTAGTATTATTGTTTTTGCTTAGATGGTGCCTTGCCAAATTCCATGTTTTGCAAGGGATCTCTTACTGGTGAGAACTGAAGAGCTCTGCAACTCAGTACAACAAATGCACTGTTCTTAAGACAGTATTGGGTCTGGTAAATAGGTCTTGAAAGATCTGTTATTTCTGACTTGATGCAGTCTGGTAGGTGACCCTGGAAGTCTGGGCTTCACTTTCTCGGGCTGCAAAATGGAGACAATGAAGCTCATCTGTGAGGCACTTTCAAGATCTGCTTAAGTGATACGAGAGTGCTTGATTACTGTGTGAAACAATGCTACTAGGAGGAGCACTGATGATTGCAAATGTAACTTGTTCTATGAATCTTTCAGCCTTGCTTCTGTCGTAATGAGTTGAATATCTTTAGCCAAGAACACTTTTGGAAAGCATTTGGAGGGGAGGGGAAGGGGAAAAGAGGAAACTATTAAAATGGAAGAGTTTGGCACCTGCAGTGCACTGAAAGGTAACCCCAGAATATTATGCCAATGTAACTGTTATATGTTACATAGTTAAGAGAATATATTTTGGGTGATAAATGTAGTTTAGGCTTTTTAAAACAGTTTATGTGCTGTAGGCCAACTTTCTACATAAGAGCACTTTAGAGAGTTCAGTGTGACCTGTCTACCCTGTTGGGTGGAAGTTGTTTAACATACTGTCATGTAGGTCACTGCAGTGATGTCTCATGAATACTTAAGAAAACAAAGGGCTTCACTACTTCATTCATTTAACCTTTTGATCCTTTATCTTTCTGTCTTCAAATCTTTTTTCCCTTGACCAGTCGAAATACTCCTTACAAAACCCTGGAGCCAGTCAAACCACCAACAGTCCCCAATGATTATATGACCAGTCCTGCCAGACTGGGCAGTCAGCACAGTCCGGGAAGGACGGCTTCCTTGAACCAGAGACCAAGAACACACAGGTAAAGTGTTTTCTCACTGTAACTTTTTCCTGCCTGGCATGCTGATGCTTCCTAAAGTCACAGACAGAGAAAAGCTTTGAAGCTTTGTGCCTGCTGGCTTTTTGTAGGAAGGCAAAAGGTGAGTTTACCACTCTGAATTAAGAACTTCACTGTATTGACTCCTCTAACACATTGAAGTGTCTTCATACTCTGTAGAAGCCTCATTGTATCTAGCAACTTACTTCCATAACCACAGGCCTCATTTTATATAATCAGTTTATTTTTGTTCTATGGTATTTGTTTCCCAAGAATAAACAAAACTTCAGAATTTATGCAGTTGCAGGGTAGGGTAGCGATAGGCTCTAATGGGTTTAAAGCTGCGTTATTAACCTTAGCCTAAAATACTTAGCCTAAAATTTTCGTTTTGTTTTTAAGACCATTAATTGCAAAGAGAAATTTCTGTTGATTAGAAACACTGTGATGAAAGTGGTCCGAAAGAGCTGACTGCTTTCTTTTGGCTAAAACGTAATGCTTGTAATCAGTGCTAGCATGATAGAATTAGAAAATAAAACCTATTCACAGAGCAGGTGTTGGCAACAGCCAGTTGTTTCCACATGCGTAAGGGCTTTGATGAAAGAGTAGTGTGTTTGGGGTGAGAAGGGTGTTCCGAGTGTTTTTTAATGTATTTTTTTTTTCTTGAATTGCAAGGCTAGATCTTTCTCTGAGCCTCTTGAGTGGGTTCAGGTTTTTTGAACTGGATTTTTATCATAGGCTTCAAACTGCAGGGAAAAAACAGATGGAAGAATTCAGTGTAGTTAGAAGTAAGAGATTAGCTTATTTTTTCGAGATCTTCTTTCTTAATTTTTTTTTTCTTTTTAAACTCTCAGTAGGCAGTTAAACATGGCAGGTCACTAATGGGGGTTGAGAGTATTTTGGACACAGTTGATTATGAAATACTGTCAGAATTAAATAACTTCTAAATCTGACTGCAAGGAAGATCTTGTTAATCTGTTTAGCTGGCTACTGTGAACACTCCCTACTCTTGTCTCGCAAGATCTTCTTTTATGTAGACTGCAGTTAGAAATTCAGCTGCAACCATGGTGACAAGATCAAGGTTTCCAGCAGACAGAACACTAATTTCGAGGGAATTATGTTGGCTTCCATTTCAGATCATTGATTCTCTTTTTTATAACTGTTATTTTCTTAAGGTATATTTGAATGATTTGCACTTGACTCTTGACAGTGCTGATTTGTAGCTACCCAGGAGTGGTAAATAAACTATAACATCACTAAGTACTCTTTAATTAACATGGATGGGTTACAGTGGTGTTAGCTACAAAACATCTTGACTACTTAGTTCCCTTTGTTATCCATTTAATCCATGTAAATTCAGGCTTTGGCCTAAGGAGTGCTCTTGGATAAGAATAAAGACAGATTCTACCTGAATCTTGATCCTTTTTCAGCTCCCTCAATGAAAAGAAGTGTTATGGCCTCCAAAGACATATGTAGAAATGTTACCCAGTAGTTCACTAAAGTATGTTCTGTAAAAAAATCTGTTGCTGGCCTGATTTGTGAATCATATAACGGCACTTAGACAAATTTTGACCTGGCTGTACTGTTACCTTCCAGACTCTCTCTTGTACACAAAAGGTGTGTGCATGGGGGGGAGGGAGTGTTAAGTATACAGAAAATCATCCACACCATACCCTGAACCACACTCCACCCCAACTGGTTCTTCATTGTGACTGTTTTCAGTTAAAAAGTTCTCAATCTAAAGTTCTGTTCCGAGTAGAGGAAATGTTCCTTCAGATGACATCATAAATAATCAGAAGTAATTATTTATAGTTTAGGCATGAACTCTTCCAGTCTTAGCTTATGACTTGCACTTATTACAAGGCCCCCGAACTATTCCTGCAGTTGTTACTCCATTGCTTAGAACTGGTATGGTTACTTACCTTTTTATTTTTTAAAGCATTTAATTAGACACTTTATGCATAGTGATGTTTATCAGCTTATCTAATTCCATTTATTAGGAGTGTAATGCATCCAGTCTTGATTAGCTGTATGCAATTGTAGGTAGAGACAGAGGCATTTTATAGGGGATTTTTCAACTGTCTATAATTGAGCTTGCACAAGAAGTGTGACTGTTGGAAGGCCTTTGTAGGAAATGCTGTGCTAATACTTCTGTTTTGCTGTTTTAGCGGTAGTAGTGGAGGAAGTGGCAGTCGAGAGAATAGTGGAAGCAGCAGTATTGGCATTCCCATTGCTGTGCCTACACCTTCACCGCCAACCATTGGACCAGGTACGTGGGACTCTTCCCATGTTAACTTAAGGCTGTAATTTTAGTTGCTTGTTTTTTGCAGAGGGATTTTGGCTGAATATGATGGGGTAGAAAATGTCCTGAAGCACAGTCCTAGTCGGGATATCTCTTATGAATGCTGAGGGACATCTAAAGTTTAAATTCTTCACAAAAAGTACTTGCAGAACAATCAGTTGTAGAATACTGGATGGTTAAAACACCTTTGGTCCATGTTTTTACAATATAATCAAGGGGGGGGGGCAGGGAGGAGATAGGAGGAGACGGGGGTATCCTTTTAAAGCTTGAGTATATATTTTAAATGTCTATCTACAATGTGGCATTTCTGGATGCCCTGAGAAGCAGCAGCAACTACATACATGTTTGGGAAATGTTGTCTTCTGAAATAGCCTGCTAACTTTACCATCTGCCAATGATGGTATGTACATGTTCTTTTTTTTTAATTCAATAAAAATCTTTACTTCAAATAAGACACAGAAGATCCTCTATGAAAACACTGCTAGTAGGAGAATTCAGGCTTATCTGCCATTGTTCATGTTATGATTACAGTCTGAAGTTGCGAAGCTATGGTGGTGATCATTGAGAGTCAGAAGAACTGGTTTGTATAAGGTAGCACAGCAATAAAAGAGAATCTATGTATTTTCTAAGTACATAAAGCTAATTTGCACAGGAATACAGTGGAGTTCTGGTGGAATTTTGCTATTGCACCTTGTAAATTTCTGTTCCTTGCCTGACGGGTCTTTACTTACGCACAAGTAGGCTTTCCTTTCCCAGGTGTTTCTGATCCTACAGTGGTACAAATAGGCATGAAATCTTACTATTCTCTGGCATCCCATAAAAGTCAATGGGAATAAAGATCTGCAGGTACATAACCCCATGTGGGATCAGGGCCTGAGTTTGTATCAGTTGACCAAAGCTGAATTTCTGTATTTATTTGGGAAGCCTCTCAAGTGCCCATGGTTTGTGTTTTTGGTTTTTTGTTTTTTTTTTTTTTTAATATATGGCCTAATTGGGAATATAAACCTTTTTATTAGCACACATTTCTGTTCCTCCTCCTCCTGGAGCCCCGCCAGCACCACCACTGCCACCACCTCTCCCGATGGGCAGTCTGATAGGTGAGACTTGTGTCAATGCTGAAGTGATTGCAGTCATGCTGCGTAATCAATAATCATCTCCTCCTAATGGACTTAATGAGGGTGTTTTTAATTCTGTAGCGGGGTCTACATGATTTTAGTATAAAAATCAGTTCTGGGATTGTTTGTTTGTTTGTTTTTAAACAAATCTAATCTCCACTAATTTCCTGTGGTTAAAGCCTCTGAAGGTAAATGCACAAGGTATGGGGAAAAGGCTGCCAGCTGCTTGAAATCTTTGTTTCCAATAAAGCTGAGATCTGATTGGTCTGATCTATAAGAACTCAAAATCAGCTTGAATACTGGTATTCTGCTGTATCACCCCTGCAGCTGAAACTAAGCCACAACAGTTGCACTCCGGCTTAAAAATGGCAGCTGATGTGTAGGGTGATGTATGTATTCTATCCTGTGGGAGTAAGGTGGCTGAAAAGCAGAAGTGTCTGTCATAGTGGCTTGGGGTTGATTCTGTAATGCTGCAGGCAGGTGGCAAACTGGAAGACTTTAGGATATGAACTAACAGTTCTTGAAAAATTCCTTCAGGCATTACATATAACTGTTAGGATGGGATCTAAAAGTAGTACTTTCCAAAACAGGCAGGAAAAAGTACCCCACCCTTTCCTATCACAGGCTGATGACAAAATTCATTGATTGTGTTATGAAACTAGCTTTGGAGGCTTTGACCCACATAATCCTTTGCACTTTCCCTTACTGAAGTGATAAGTGAAAGTGACTTTGAATAGCATTACAGGACTGCAAACTTCTGATCACACACTGTTTGTGTATGTGTCTGTGTGTGCATTTTTGTATATACTTATATATATTTGTATGATATATACATATGTATACAAAAGCACGAAACATTTTATTGCAAAACAATTTTTGCATTTAAAAATTGTACTGATCTATGTGATCTCAGCGCATGAGATTCATTAGTTTGCAAGGTGGTTCTGTTCTCTGTTCTTCAGAGGTTAATCCAAAAGAGAACTTAAGTTTTGCTTTAACCTTAAAGTTTGTGCAGCAAGCGTGTGGAAGGTAAAAATGGGTGTTCATCCTGAAGAATGAGTGACATGTCCTTCTGTCAGCTGGCATTGGTGATTCTGATTTGTTAGTGCAAATTCCATCATTATAACAATATAGAAGCACGACTAGTAAATATAGTTGATAAATGTGCCAAGTGTCTGAAGCTCGTAACATTTGTTTTACTGTTTTGTTAGTGTCTTTTTATATTAGATTTGAGACAAGTTCTGGTTCACAATGGAAAACGTTTGCTTTGAGCAGAGCGTGGGGGTTTTTCTGTGTGCTTTTTAATAAAGGGTATTGCATGTAAAATGATTGAGAGATGCTTCGGAGTTGGAAGCTGATTCAAGTTTCCAGTCCAATCCAGTCTCTCAAAGTAGTTCTCAGCATTTCTCAAATGCCCTTTATATGAATGTTGGTTTACATCCTGTGTGTTTTTTCTCATTATTGATTATAAGAGGGATGTTTGTTTTCTGTTAATCTCCTGTTACTGGCCTTAAATTATTGGAGACCTGTAATCAAGTATTTCCCGTGTTGTGGGCTTTTTTCTCTTTTCTGCATTCTATCCCAAGTAATGCTCTGCTTAAGTCTTTTCCTTGGTTCCTCTGGCTAATGCTTTTCAGCTGCTCCGGGTTCAGCTCCTGGTTCCCAGTATGGCACAATGACCAGGCAAATCTCGCGACACAACTCTACCACTTCTTCAGCATCTTCTGGTGGATACAGACGGAATCCTTCTGTGACTGCCCCATTTTCTGCTCAACCTCATGTTAATGGCGGGCCTCTTTATTCTCAAAATTCAAGTAAGCTTCTGAGCTCTGAAATCACAAACTGTTTTGAGCAAAATGATTGTAAAAGCATGCATGGCATTTTAATTCATTTATGAAGAACATCAATTAGATTACTGCTTTCTTTTCTAAAATAGAAGGAAAAACAAACAAGAAAAAAACGTATTGAAGTAGTACAGTGATTGCACTATATGCAATTATACTGTTTTCCCCTCTGACTTGTTTGCTGTTACTCATGACAAGAAATTATGATTGCCTATCTAATTAATAGGCACATTATCCTTAGCATTTCAGGTGTGCTTGGAGAACATAAACTAAAACCAGAAATTTTTTTTGCAGGAGACCTAATATGATTGTAGTACAGTCCCTCCACCACTGGGCTAGTGGCAAGAGAGTACTGTCAGAGCACAGTGCTCATGTTAAACTTTTCCCATTCCACAGTTCCTCCCCGTCTCTGTCTCTTTTCTGATTCCAAGTTTCTCTGTTGTTCTTAGTTTTAAGCTTGTCTGTTAAAGGAGGGATCAGTCTCTTTCTTCGTAGCAGATGACTCCTCTGTGCTTCCACACTAGTAGTAGTATAGATGGAGATGAATGAGAGAAGGGATGGATGCCACGGGCAAGCGAGCAGGTTTTAGTCAGCAGCATCCTGCCCACCTACCCCACAGGGCAAATGAGGTTCACTGCAGAAGGATCTGCAAAGTAAGGATCTACCTGAGTGTTGGTAGAAAGCTGTTTCTATCAGATAACTTACTCATTGCCGTTTCCATAAATTTTGACCAAATACACACAAAGGAGTGATAATCCTCTAATGGTTTCTGGTGGTGTTATTCAGCATGCCAACTCTTCAGAGTTGGTGTTTCCTTTAAAAAGAAATGTTGATGTTTGGGCTGAAGATCACTAAACTAGTTTGCTGTTGTGTACTTACTGTTCAGGAAAGAATGCATATAAAATGTTTGTGACACTGAGGTGAAGAGTTTTCTCAGTGGTTTAGAAGTACATTTATCAAAAAGCACTTTTATATGCAGAAACAGTAACTATCTTTTTTTTTTTCCAATCCTGATTTTCCTCCCACTCTCTCACCCATACTGGCCCTTCATTTTCCTCCTCACTCTTGTTCCCCCAAATTAACTCACCATAACAACAGAAGCTCCTTCCTGTTTGAACAGTTGTGTTCTGTTGAATAAACAGGGCTTTACTTCTGGAAATAATTCAGTTGTCTTAAATGCTATGCACACCACTGTTTCTAAACATATACATTTGTCCAAAGCAATTTTTTGCTCAAATGCAGGTGCTGTTCCTTAATCTAGCCTCTCTGGTGTTTTCAAAATACTGATTGTCAGCATTTTTTAAACAGTATTTTGATGGGTGTGTTTTTCTACTTTAAACTGTTTTCCTCTTTTTCTGTAACTGGTGATCATTTTTTAATGCTACTGTCTTGACATTGAATCCAGGTCCCATGTTTCTTTAAGGTTTTACTTTTCATGCTAACAAATACTCTGTTTTTTTTCTTAGATGTTTACTTCAATTTTGTGAGAAACCTGTTTGTTCTGACTCTTTTATTGATCATTTCTCCCATACAGTTTATTTGATTTGATTATTTGATTATTGTTTTTGTAATGAACTAAATGCTCCATTTTTATTCATTAAACATTAATCTTAGTTATGGCTTTATTTAAAACTGTTGCTTACTTGGAAGTACAGAACCTCTTTCAAATTTGGGTCCAACTAGATTACCATGCTGAATTCCCACCTTCACGCGAATTTCTCTGCTTCAGTACAAGAAAAATTCCACTGAGAAGGGCCACAGTGTAAACAAATGGGTGGTTCTTTTGTTGGGTTTGGGTTTTTTTGGTTTTGTTTTGTTTGGGGTTTTTTTGTTTGGTTGGTTGGTTGGTTGTTTTTTTTTTTTTCTTTCCCCCTGCTTCATGGGGAGATGTCCTGCCAGAGCTGATACTTTGAATGGCAAGCCCTACTGCTACCTTGCCTCCTTCCTGCCTGTAGAGGGAAGAGTTGAACATCTGGGCTGTCAGCTCAGCATCTCTGAGCAGCGGTGCCATGTGTTTCATACCCCATTACTCACCTAATAGGTACATACTTCAGAGAAGACGAGCTTGCAAGTGCTTCCTGAGGAGCTCTGTGTGCTAGTGTAGCCAGGTGTAGCTGTTGAAGCCTTTGCCAGCCTCTTAGGTTGCTGAGTGCCTTCTAACCACAGAAGACTTAAACATTTTAAATAGGGCTCCATTCTGCTCTAAATGCATCTGCTTTTCCTACCAACAAAGTCCCTTTTTTATGTAAAACAAAAACCCGGTAAGGCAACCCACTGCCCCCCCACCCCAGCAAAACAAAATTACGGAACGTGCTCTCCGTATGAATATTATGTATTGATGTTGAGACATTTTTTTCACTTGTAAAGTAGTTGTCTTTGCTCTGTGTCAGTGCTGCTGTGCTGCACTTGATGTAGTGCTCTGCTCTTTAGGAGTCCAGAATCCTGCGAAACATCACCTCTACTTTTAGTAGCATACTTTTAAAAGATTACTGAATTTGAGTAATTCTTATTTGGCAGCAAGACAAGAACCTGAGTTTTGGGTGCTCCCCAAGTGAAACAGAGCAAGTCCCTTCACACGTGCACCCTGTGAGCTTCCAGGTGTGCACCCTGTGCTCGGCTTTTTAGTCAGCTAAGCACGGGGGCAGGCTTTGCTTTTTGATCCTCGATTGGCTAACCACGAATTCAGCCTTGTTGGAAACACAAGCTTGAAGAAGGTTCTTCTGTGTGTGTGTTCTTGTTGTTCTTTACATAGTTTGTTTTGTGGTCCTCGTTACTGACGGCTGCTTTTGTTTGTTTCCTCTTTTTTTTTTTTTTTTTTTTTTTTTTCCTTTGTCTGTTTGACTTTCCCGGTATGGTGTGTGTGTTGCTACCAGTTTCTATTGCTCCACCCCCTCCCCCTATGCCTCAGTTGACTCCACAGATACCTCTCACAGGCTTCGTGGCCAGGGTGCAGGAAAACAGTAAGTTTGGACAAGCTGAGCTGTTAAAGGGTAGAGCCTACTTTCTTCTAGCATGCATGGCTGGCAAGTCAGACTCTATTTTGTTTCCTTTTCCAGAAGCTAATACCATCTTGCATTCTAGTGTCAATATGCTATTGGAGCTGAAGGGCACACTCTTCAATATTTTATAACACATGCATGATTATTACTGACCTATTTAAGTTTTGATCTGCAAATTTATTATAGAAATACAGTGTGAAATATGTGGCATATGCTTGGTATGAATATAGAAATGTATCTTAATTAAAAATATTAATTTCATGTTGAATCATCCTGCCTGAGGCTTTTTCACTAGGGATAATTGATTAGTTTTTATTAGGAAGGCTTATGTAGACTGTCAGAATATGTACTGTGTAACCCCTGATTCTAATACTGTAGTAGTTTTCAGGAAGCTGTGCAGTCTCACGATCTAATGGCATTACAAAGGAGCTTGTAAGGTATTTCTCCTCAGCAACCTTTCATTCTCCATTTCTTCATGTTCTCTAGCCAGATTTCCCTGCTGAGCTTCTTGCAGCATGTTAGGTTTGTGAGAGACGCTCCCTGGGTATGGTCTGTGCTGAAAGGTGGTTTATACTGGTAACTCTGCTTTTACCGTTACTGCTTGATTCATTTCAGGTGAGTGTTACTGTCCCAAATGCTAGTGCAGGTGTAAAGTCATGTTCCTGATCTGGGGACATCTTTGCTGGAGGAATACGTTGCAGTTCTGTAAATAAGGGAATGAATGCATTGTAGGTAGGGTATGAAGCAAGTATAAAATGTTTTTAAAGTGTTTGGGAGCCGTAGCGAAGTCCGCTCACATCCCAGGGGCTACCACTACATAGTAGCCATATAGCTCCAGCATACATTTAGGAGCCCCCACATCTGCTGTTTGACTTCCCATTAGAGCTTTTAAGTGGTCATGTTCTGAGCATTCCCCCAGAGGTAGGAGGCATCTCTTGAAAAGAAGGTATTTTGGTGTTGTAAGAAAGAATCGTGTTGCAGTTGAATAGTATGCCACAGAGCTGTGTTGCTGAACCTTTATGAAATTCAAAGTGTAGAGGTAAACCTACTGAAGATGAAGGTTACAGAATGTCTTCACTTACAGAAAAACTTGAGAAAATTGGCACCTGCTTCTGAATTGTTCTGAGTATTGTCCTCCTGGAGATAACACAGCCCTTGGGAGAGCAGAGGTGAAAGGGACAGACTCACTTGTGTGTGCAACAACAAAATGCAAGCTGACTTGTGAATGAGATTGCAGCAAAAAATAGCTGAAGCTTGAAATCTGGTCTTAGGAATTGTTCTTTTTATTTTCTTTCTTTTAAGAGTCCCTTGGGTTTGAAAGTTATATAACAAGTATGGCTTTGAGCTGCTGCTGCCTCATTTCAGCGGCAGAGGTGCGTGTGGCAGTCTGTGCATACGATCAGCAAAACTGGCTGTAGAGGCTGTTGTGTTTTGGCATTGTGTGCTAGACTTTCATCCGCCTCATCTTCTGCAAGAAATCTATGGGGGAGTGGAGTTAGGGAGACTTGTGAGTAGGCTTGTCTTTTCCTTATGGTAAAGATCTGTGGGTTTGGAAAGCAACATCCTCTCCTCTCTGGACTTCTTTCAGAAGACAAGGACAGAGGGCTTAGAAACTATGCAATGCCTACTGTTTTTTCCTGCGCCCTGTGCCCAAACTGTGGCTATCTCCTTCAGAGAGGTTTTCCAGTGTGTCCGGTACTCAGGGACAACTGATTGGATGTAAATTGCTGTCCTGTCACACCCAGTCCTTTCGAAAGGAGTTTGCTGGTCCCCATCTAAAGAACAGGGATGTGAATACATAGAGAAGATGTCTCAATTTGGAGCTGTATAAATACTGGTCCTTTTACCCTTTCTCATTTAGTGTTGTTTTCTGTATGCTTTTTTTTTTTTCCTCCCCTAGGAAAAGCTATTCTGGAGTCTGCCTGTTTTAAGTTCAGAACCAGGAAAAGTCTAGGTTAAAATCCAAGAGGCAGGGGGATACTTCCATGGAGTGGCACTTGTCTAATTTTCTGTTCCATTCTTTCCTCTTGTTTAAATGTGAAGTTGAATTGTTTTAAATGTTTCCCATAAAGCATGCAGTTTCTGCACTGCATCTCAGTTAGGGTATGTGTTGGCACTTTCACACTTGCATTTCTGGCCCTCTTTTCTTCTTTTCAAATAAGCAACTTCGTTGTTGAATAAATACAACTTTTTGCATTTCTTAAAGTAAGGATTTCTCAAGATCTCAAAGGATTGTTGTTTCGATACTGTTTTTTTGTTGTTTTTTTTTTTTTTTCTCCGGGTTGCAGACAAATTAAGGGGAGAAATACATTTTGTGAAAGATGTACCGAAACTACTGCACAAAGCCAATCCATTCATAAACAGTGTTGTCATGTGTCTGTGGTGGATTAATGAAGCCTGCCTGTGAGTACAATTCAGTAACACGGGCAAGACGTAGTGTTCACTTGGCCAAAGACTTTGTTCATCTGTCTCCAAGTGACATAAATGGGCTTCTGTATGGGAGAGGAATTGCTAATACAGCGGCAGCCAGTCTACCAATGGAGAGGGCTGTGGGGTATACAACTTAGCTGGTCAAGTTGAAGAGGAGCTGGGCTTGCAAGTGAAGAACAGCATTAGCTCTTCAAGGGGTAGAGTGGGCTGGGTGCCAGGGTGAAGGCAGCCTCTGCCCCAGCAGCTCCTGCTGGTTTCTGCCCCCTCAGAGCAGGAGATGTGGCTTCTGCTATACCAGCACAGCTGATCTGACCCAGCTGGGACATGAGTGATGCTCAAGCCCCTTGTCAAGGGCGTGTGGCTGAAGAACAAAGGTTAGTCACCGCTGGAGTAGTGGCCAGGTGAAAGAAAAGAGCATGAGAGCAAACAGAAACGCTATTTCTCATCTCCAGTGCCACTGTAACTAGCAGTAGCTAAAGCTTCACTCAGTGGTGTTCTTTCCTTGCCCTGCAGCTTGGCTTTCTTCTCAAAATTAGTGTAGTGACCTGGAACTACATGTTCTGGAGCCAAGTGCCCGGCCTGATGGCTCCTTTCAGCCAAACCCTTTCTAGAGCAGTGGTTTTCAGCCCGTGTTTTCAACGTGTAGACTCCCAAATCTCTTGTAATTAAATCTGTACTACTGTATAACAAAGTTGAGTTTAGTGAGAGTAGCTTCCTTTCAGTGACTTCTGGCTTCAGAGTGCTTACACCTCAGTCTGTATGTAGTGGACCACAGTTCCCAGTGAATAGCATAAGTGACTTGATGTCTTGCATCTGAGCATGCTCTCTCTGTCCTTTGCTGCCAGCTGCTGTGAATGTTACTGAAAACTAATTTGATGAACTGATTTTAAGTGATTTGTACCATAATGCCTTTCTCTTTTTCCCTTTCCCAAAGCAACTTGCAATTGTGCTGATTGGAGAAATCCTAGGGCAGGGATTTGACATTTTGGATTATACACTTAATTCTTTGAGCACTTTTTCCCCAAGAGCAGCAGCTGCCTGTTGTAGTTTTCCATTTATTAATTGAATCCTGGATGTGTGCACGAACACAAGCTAGTCTGCAAGATAAGGACCTGTACGAAGCTTTTCTTCTGCAGAAGGATTAATTGGCTTTCTCCTACCTGGTTAAATCTTAAGCACTAGTCTCTTCCCTTTTCTTGTGATCCACACCAGATCTTTTTGTCCCCTTAATGCTAGCTCTGAGAGAAGGAATCCAAGGAAGCAGTGTTCAGAAGGAAATTGAAGTGATTGTTATAGATGAAGGATTTGTTAAAAAAATAATCACGCTGCTGGTCCAGTCCAGAGGCCTGTTGCTGCCTGGCTCAGAGGGTGCCACTCGGAGTCCTCCCATAGCTAACGGCTGCAGCTCGCCCCTCAGCGCCTGGGCGTCGGAGCAGGAAGCTTTCCTCTCTGCTGGTGTTCAGCTTATGCCCTGCAGCATGTGCTTTGACTCTAGTAGCATTTATACATAGATTCTACCACTAATAATACGTGTAGTTGTATGTTGTAGCTGTTAATACAAAGCCTTTGTTTCTAATCAGTGCATGGTTCTATAGTGCATGCTATGTGTGTTGTCCCCCCACCCCTTTTATTTACAGTGTACAGCCTCAGGTTTGTTTGCATCTCCACACTGTTTTGATTTAAGAAAAAAAGTAATCTCCAAACGTTTCTAGTTGCTGATAGCCCGACTCCTCCCCCCCCACCGCCTCCCGATGAGATGCCGATGTTTGATGACTCTCCTCCTCCTCCACCCCCACCCCCTGTGGATTACGAGGATGAGGAGGCTGCTGTTGTGCAGTACAGCGATCCTTATGCAGATGGAGATCCTGCTTGGGCACCTAAAAACTATATAGAGAAAGGTAAGAGAAGTGTTGCAACTCTGTTACTGCAGTATCAAAGGATGAACGGTACCTGAAGGGAATGAAGGACTTGCTTGGGTCTGATGAAAACAGTCATTGTCCCTGCTGAGTCAGAATTCAAACCAATCTTTTCTTAGTTTGACTGTGGTTACACCTAATGTGATAAAAGATAATCCTTCTTTGGAAGGGTTGCAAAATACCTTCAAACGTTCTAGAATGGATTAAAAAAAGAAAAAAATCCTTCGCTATGAGAAGCAGATGTAAATCGGATGGCTTTCATCTTTGTTGAGCTGCTGGACTGTGTCTGTAGTTAGCTCAGGATTGCTGGGCAATCAGCTAGAAATAGTGTTACAAAAAGGCCAGAAAGTCCGAGCTCTGTTTATGCCATCGAACTAGGTAGCTAGAGTGGATCATTAGACCTCCATCGATAATGTGTGGCGAGGCTTCCTCGGAGTGGCTGGATCAGCAGACTGTCAGCTGTGCTTAGGTGTGAACTCATGCGGTGAATGTCCCTTCCCATGAAGAACCGAGATGCTGAGTTCCTGCCTGTAGAGTTGTCCGTGTTCTGACAATGACCATTTTGTCACCAGCAATGTTACAAGTTTTTCTCATGATCTGGCCAGTACTGCGGTGTGTATGAAACCGGGTGGGGTACCTGTGGCACCTGTCTTGGCAGAACTGCTGTGTTCCAGCTTCCCTCCTGGCTGGACTCTGTGCAGGACGTGCCCATGGGATGAAAATATCTGATACGCCACCTCGTTATTTGCTGGGCATTAAGACATCAGATTTCTGAGAATATGCGTATGTGAAATAGTAGGTTCTTGGAATTCATAAAGTGGATCAATTGCATAAATCCATGTTAACTGTTTCAAAGGGTGAGCCTGTGATGTCCAGAGTTTGTGTATTTATAGTGGTAGTTTTTGATTCCAGCATTATTGGTGGTGACATTTACTTTCCTTAGGGAGATCTCTGCTTTGTTAACTACACACAGTGAGTTGGAGGTTGGTAAGAGTAACATATTCACCAAGCAGGTACTAAAAATAGCTGATGTTGCTGTAAATTCATTTCTGCCTTTTTCTACAGCAACTGTTATACTTGTACTCCTCGCAGCTCCTTGGAAAGTAATGCCAAAACTTCTTCTCACATAGCAGCTCTGTAGCAGGGACCCTCCGTTTCTGCACAGTGGCTTTAAGCATCTATGTTTACAAGACCATACACTGAAGTATATGCTGTATGGCTGCAGGGGCCAGTGTACATTTTTTTGATGTTGGTCTGTTTCTACAGAATGATTAATTTTGGTTTGTAGGCTTCCTCTAATCAAGTGATCCCTACACGAGGATCTATACGCTTTTGAGGTAATCTGACCAGAAATGACTGCCACACTCATGGAGCCAGTTACTTCATAGTTCAGCTCTTACGTGTCCATGTGCTCCAGTTTACTGTCAAAGCTACCTGTACCTCTGTCAGTAGTTTAACTGAGCATTCAGTGTAGTCACCACCCACTTCCTACTGGTAGCTAATGTTGCAAGAAAAGTGAAATTTAATTTTCTGGACTTCATGTTAAACAGGGAAAGCATGTGAATTCATTATGGAAAATCCCAGGATAGCAAACTAGTCTTTAAAAAATAAGTGTACTTCAAAAAACATTAATAGAGGTGCTATTAATAAAATGCTAAACGTGTCCCTGTTCAATCCACAGTTGTTGCTATATATGACTATACAAAGGACAAAGATGATGAGCTGTCGTTTATGGAGGGTGCAATCATTTATGTGATAAAGAAGAATGATGACGGCTGGTATGAAGGAGTTTGCAATCGAGTAACTGGCTTGTTTCCTGGGAATTATGTTGAATCAATCATGCACTATGCCGATTAAAATCCTTTGCTTTTCAAAGTTGGGTCTTGTATTCAGTCATACCATGATTATTTACAAGGGGTAACTAAAAGCTAACAGAGTTGTCTTAATATACTTTCCAAAAAAATGTGCCCATTTCTTCAGGCCATACTGTTTGAATGGTATGATTGAATGTCCATCTCTCTGAGTCTCTGGAGACAGTATGTCTTACCTGATGGCAATCTGTAAAACAAGCAACTGTCTATAACTGGTTATACTTATTTACTTATGCATTGTTAATTTTATGACCAGCCTAAATATTCTGGGGAAGTAGGGTATAATATTTAATGAACCATGATCAGATTGTGCCATTACATTTTTCAGTACAGCATGGTAACTAACACTACGTTAGACTAACATATTAAAATCTGGATGAGAAGTTTAATGTTAGTGCTGGTCATATTACTTTTTGTTTAGACTCTTTGCTCATTCTTGAACTATATTTGTTTAAAGCATGCATACAAACTTATGTATTGAAATATACTTTTTTAAAAATCCAAGATGCTTCCAATTGTTGTAATCTTTACCTGGAGTATTCTCACTAAAGTCTATTACAATGAGTTGTTTGGGTCTAAGGTGTCCATGTGAATCAAAAAATGGGTGGTCTTATGTATGTGTAATTTGTACCCAAGTTTTTTTAATGAGTAAATTTACATTATGACTTTTTCCATTCATAAATATATAAGTGAACCAAAGGTCTTGTCCATTACTTTGTTGGTTGGCTTGGCAAAGAAGTTTGGAATGCTAGCGTAGCAAAATCATGGCTGTGTTATCCCAGGCAATGTACTAAAACGCAAATGTTTGTAATGTGACTATCACTGACAGAGGGCAAATAAATTAGATATGAAACCTGAATTACACATTTATACATACTCTTAAAAGTTCTTTTCTTCTAAAATTAATTCTAGTGAGGATTCTCGATTGAATCTGGTTATCTAGATGCAGTAAGTTGGACCCCATCTGTAACGGACATTTCTCAGTGAAAACTGTCTGGCTTGGTGCTGTGCCCAGCTGAGCAGGGACAGCAGCCTGTCCTCGGGAGACGACACGACACTGGGAACAAACGTGACGGGGACTTGGCCACTGTGTGGGGGGTTCACAGGCAGAGATAGTTAGAGGTGATGTACCTCCCTGTTCTACATGTTCTGGGGCTTAAATAACCTGAAAAGGAATGTGGTAGTACTGGATAATTGCTGTAAGAGGAATGTGTCTGTGACTTCAAAGCAGCCTTCTAAAGGAGGGTAGTGAATACACTCTAGAAATGAGTGATGGAAGGTGATGGAGCTGAAGCTTGGGCTGGCGGTTGAGTCATTCATTTTCAGTGAGTTAGAAATACCGAGCCCTTCATTTTCTTAACTGTAGCAAGCTTGTTAACTGCTGGCAAGTAGCAACCAATAGCACACCTGTATTTAATTCTGAATTGGAAAACTTCTCACTGGTTTATAACCAATTACAGTCTAGATACAGTCTTTTATAATAAACCAATCGCCATATATACAATTCCAGCTACTTCTGTACTTCAGCAGCCAGGAACGCATTCAAACCATCTCTCTTCACAGGCATTTATCAGATCAGAGCAAGCAGGCTGTTAATGAAGGTGAACAAGTGAAATTTGGAACAACTTCAGTTCTCATACACTGATTTATATTTATTCTTATTGTGGCCTTTGTGCATCAACATGTAAACATCTTCCCCACCCCCCACAATTAATAGCTCCCGCTAAAACAGTTGTACAGCACAGTTTGATTTGCTCTGAATTGTATGGCTTCCCACAATAAAACACTTTAAACTTTTTAAAAAACAAAACAAAAACAAAACAAAAAAAAAAAAGCAGAACTTCCAAAAAAAAAAAAAAGTTTTTTAAAAAAATAATTTTTGGTAGCCTGTGTTGGAAGCAAATACCTTGAAGTAAATTTAGGCACAGTCTGGTAAGTAGCTGCCAGAACGAGTGGAAGGAGTTCTCTCACTTGTCTCGCACGAGTACCATTTCTGTCAGTTGAATGAGAGCTTCTCTTTCAGGGGATGGCCGCAGTTTACTGATCTCTCTTGTGGCCTCATGGCAGTAGCGCTGGGCGAGGTAGGTTGTTTGCTGCACACCATCACTCTTATGTAAGAAGACAGTTAAAGGTAGTGGGTAACCGGTCAGCCTCCCTCCTGCCTTTCGCCTCTTCCAGTTACAGGGGGGAGTTTTAAGGTCAGTAAGTACCCTGAACACTTAATTATATTCTTAAGGGGAAAGGAAGAGGATTCATTCTATATTCATTGAATCCTACATCTCGTCTCCAATGTGTCAAAATACTAAAACTCATCCATGCTGAACTTACGTATACTTAAAAAACAACGCTGGTATTAACAACATACTATTCAGTAGGATTAGAAACTGTTTAAGCCCTCCCCTTCTGCCCTAAACAAAGATGTACAGGAAAACATGCTATCCTGAAAAAATAGGGATTCATTTTGCGCAGACAGTTATTCAGTCTTTTCAGACTAGAGTCAATTAAAACTGATAGGGAGTGTGCACTCCAGTTACAAGATTGACTGGTAATTACGTGCTGTTTACACCAGTTGTTGGATACAGCTGTTCTTCAGCTGAAGGAACTGAGTTCATGCATGAGCTTTTTACTTTTATTACGTGGATTTTATGCTGTTGGGGGGAAAAAAAAAAGAAAAAACCTCTTCAGTACCTAGCACTTCTGCTAAAACACTGCTAGTAAAAGACAGCTGAAGAGTACTAACTTGGTATCGTACACAGCGCGCTACTTAACGTGTATTTGAAAATGCAGCCCTGCTATTTTACTTCAGAGGCAATGCATTTCAGACTGACTTCAGCAGGGACAGCACCTATTTGTATCGAGTATTTGGTATCAGTCCTACCTGCAACACATAATTCCGAGCACGTTCAACGTCTCCTGGTTTACTGAATCGTCTCATTATCATAGCATTCATTTCTGGAAACTAAGCACAAAGGGAGAGGGGTTTGTACTGTTTACGAGTTGTTTTCCATGTAGCTGCCTGCCCTGCTAAGGTCAGAAAGAAACCAAAAACTATAGACCTCTTGCCCTGCCAGTGTTGTTACTACAGGTTAATACCTGCAATCTGCAAGGGACTGTGAGTATAGCAAAGCCCAGTCTTTTAAAACTTAATCTGGCTGGCTCAAGTGGCTGTAGCCAGTTGGTGGTGACAGCTGGCAACTGTCCTTCCAGTATGTTGAGCAGCCGACCCAGCGTGGTAATGTCTGATGTGGCTACTCCCAAGTGTATAAGCTGGTTCAGGTATTTATATCACCAATGGATGACAAATGATGATCAGTGTTGGCACCCCTAGAAGCAGAACCTCTTCCCCACATGTACAGCGGAGAACCCAAGAGGTTTGTTGTATCTACATTACACAGTTCAACCTATAAAAGCTTCAGGAGTCCTTTGGCCATTTTATCCACTCATGCTTTCCATTGCTTTGGTATTTTATATACACAGGCTCTGCCTGTGGAAAGCACAGGACAGAATTTTATTTTTCTCTTACAACAAACAACGCATTTTGTTTTCAATCATGTAGAACTTATAGTTAGTACTGCATACTCAATTCCCTACAAATCATGTAAATAACTCAGTCAGTTGTCTGAGAAAGTCACTGTATCACTTACCTAAACATGCAGGCACTTTCTTCAGACAGTCTAAAACCAGAAAAATCTGGTGCTTAACAAACTAAGGCTACAACTCAAGGCAGTTGCTCTGCAGAGGAATTATTTTTAAAGGAAAGAGGTGCGTGTTCATCTTGTCTGAAAGGGTTATAGTCAAAGATTATTTTTATTGGTATACACTTGTAAACAAGGATCTGCTTTCCTTGCACACGTTTGCTCCTGAAACTGCAGATCTACAAACTTGGTATGGAAAAAACACGTAGATCCCTCATTCTTGGGATATTTCCCTGTTACTCGGAGGTAGTCTTCTTGGAAGATACATTTAGAAGTTTATTGGTGACTCACACTTGGCTTTCTCTAGATCCTAGCTTTCTTCCCATGTAATGACAACTTAATTGCAATGTTCATATAATCCATTTTCACATTATTTATATTTACAATGGTAGAGGAGGCACATGCTTTCATGTTTTATAGTTAAGCACTAAAGGATATAAAAACCCCCAAACCTGTAATGTGAAGCTGTTATTAGCAGATTTAATGGGCAGTATATAAGCATTTGAAAGAAGTGCTTACAGTAAAAACAAACCCTCATTCTTCAGCTGTAGTAGTTTGAGTGACTTTACACTTAGCATATACTAGTGTATTTCCTTAAGTTTTTTTTTTTTTTTTTTTTTTTTACTGAGTGAACTAGTTTTAAATACTGAATAAATAGGTGTTACATCAAGCTAAACATTTTTTGCAAAAAGGCCTCTCCTTAATTCTAGTGCTCAAAGGTATGTATCAGAGGGAGTAGAGAGGACAAGAAGGAAAAGCAGCTATCACTGAAGATCCAGAGCACATAAAGAGCTAAAGTATGTTTGTCAAGAAGACAACATGAGGATGACCAGATACGTTAAAGGGTATGTGGGATAGCAGCAATATTAATTCCAAGAGAAAAGACAGCCTAGAACTAACAATTACATTTTGGACTATCTTCAAGTCCTGGCTTGGGAGTTTTTATTCTCAGATACAAATAGATGAAGCATCATTTAGTAGCAGCACAGATAAGTGTCTGTTGAAGCTCCAAATTTTTTTAGCACTTATACTTTGTTTATATATCACTTAAGTCTGTAGTGCTGTTCTTCCAGTTTCTTGAAAACAGCAGGAAATTTTCAGCAAAGAAGCCTTCCGGTTAATGCGGAAAACTGCAAGATGGTCAAGTTATCTTTCAATGCAAAATCATATGCTTCCCATCTATCAAAGATATAAATGAGGAGAAGCATTTAAAAGTGACCTACAAAGAACAAGTGATTTTTTAAAATAGAACCGACAGATTTTCTTTTCTTGTATTTCCGTATTATGAACTCATTTATCTTCTAAAGCTGATTAAATGATAGATGAAGTTGAAAGCCAGAGACGGCCAACCCAAACAAATGAATAATAGTTTTAATTAAAAAAATTAGAATATTCAACACCCACAAGACAACCAGTGTCACCCATTTTCTGCCAAAATCGAGAGTATTTGCAACATGTCCTTGTTTCTCTCTACAAGTAGCTTTAACACACAAACAAACCAACCAACCATTTCACAATTGCATCTTCTTTCTGTACCTGACTCTCACTGTTCTTTAAACAACTCTGTTGCCGACGACTAACAAGATCCTGCTGCTTATCAACAAATTCTGAAATAATGATTCAAGAACAGGTTTGTGAATCCCCCAGATGAGTCTGTGGGGAGGAACCGAGAACATGGAGGAGGTTGTTCTCAGCATGCGTTCGACTGCATTCTGAAGTGGCTGATGCTCTTCGCTTTCCTTTCTCGAGCTACACGTCCTTGTAAATGCCCAAAGGATGAGGAAACAAACACATGCATATGTTCCACTTCCCCCCGCCCCAGGCTCTTTAAGAAAGAGGGAAACAAATGTCATAAAATTGCTTGGGTTTGGTTTTTTTTTTTTTTAAGCATTTAAAACTTTTCCCATGTCAAGCTTTGAGCGATTCCAATGAGAGATCACAGACTAGAGCTCCACTGGAAGCAGTTGTGCCAGTTTTTGTATCACGCTGTGAAGTTTGGTAGGAAGGACTGCTTCCCAAGTCCCACATCTTCTTTCCTCAGGTGAACCAAAAGCTTGAGCAAGGCGCATTAAACCCGTTTCTTCTCCTTTTATGGAGTAGCACCAATTTTAGTGTTCCTTTTGATGCTGCTGGCACTTCTGTTTTCCTTGTACTCCTCCAAATCACTTTTAAGCCACTGAAATTCTTGACCGATTTTAAGCTTATTTATGGTGCTCCTTTTTCTCTTATCCAACCTCCTATTACATTTACCTTCAGAAGGGAAAGTTTCTCAAACTTGTAACTGGGTGAGCTTCAAGGACAAAGAGATGAAGTAGATCAAAGCCAAGAGGTGCCCACCTAAAAGCTAGGCAGAGCTTGGCCCCAAGATGGATATAAAGCCCAGAACTTGGCAAAAGTCCTACATGCGTAGTCAAGCCTGAGGAGAACAAGATGCCTCAGGAAAGAACATAAGCAAGAAGGTACCTAAGAATAATCTGCAGAAAACATGCAGAAACTCCCTGAATACTTGCCCCTCTGCAAAGGTTAAGCACTTGAACTGTGACAGCAAGAGACTAGTGCTGCTTTTGATACAAGAGCCTAATGGTAAGAGGACTTTGTAGGAAGGTGTTTCTCAGTCTGAAAGAACACGTGTGTGCACACTAAATCCAGCTGCTCTTGAACACACTGATTTTTCACACGTGCCCAGGCCGTGCTCATCACTTACACTGTAGACTTGGTGTGTTCAAGCTGGGCCTCCATGTGTGCTGTGAAGAGCGGTGAACACTTTTTGTTTTGGGGAGATAGATTACTGTTGACTTACCCGTTGACAAGCAAACAAGACAGGACCTGTGGCTAATCCAAGCTTGAGATCTGCCGCTGTTGGTTTCCCCAGACGGTCGGCACATGCTGTAAAATCCAGCACATCATCTATTAGCTGAAAAGAGATAAACGTACAGATTATTTTAAAACTCTCTTTTTTGAATGAGAACTAAATACAGAATAATTGTTAAGAGAAGATTTATAGAAAGGATTAAGACAGCCCACTTTGATTTCCAAGGCAGTTTGGAAAAGTTTAGATTCTGGATCCCCTTTAATGCAACAAAAGCACTACCTGAAAAGCTATGCCAACATTTTTTCCATACTGGTATGCAATCTCATGAACTTGGGGATCAGGGCAGCCTAGAATTGAAACCTGAAATGAAAAAAAAAAAACCAAGTAAATAGAAAGCTTTAGTTAGCATCCACTTTTAGTCTCTGACCATAGGTGTGGTAGAGCAAGCAAAGACAGTGGGGATCTGGGAAAGGTAAAAAAGCTGACTCAGTAGCACATTCCTGCTTATCTCTCTTCATGGATACATACAAATAGCCAAGCTTATTAGAAAACAAGGCTGAAGAGCAGTGCAGAATTAAAAATATATTAAAGTCTGGAAAGAGATTAGCTTTATTAAATATTTATCAGACTTAGAAATTATAATGCAAGGATGAGGAGAGATGTGGAGGCACTGCACATGTAGGCTCGTAGTCATACACAGTCCAGCGACAGGGGAATTAAGTTTATTACATATATAAATCAGCTAGGGGATAATTGGAGGTCAGACAACAGATAAATGAATGTTACATGCCTCATAAAAGATCCACAAAACTGGATGTGTTGTATCCAGTATAGAAGGGACAGTTGAGATAAGGAAGATTATTTTTAAGAGTGATGTTAACTGAATTGCTCAGGAAGATGATCTGATCAGCTTGCAGACAAAGGTATCGAGGGATAATCAGTGGCAAAGACAAGACAGTGAATGAAGTATACCAAGCTAGACAAAAGTATCAATAAACTGAGATTAAACATTTTAAGTGAGTACAGATAAAAGAATCGACTACTTGAGAGACAGAAGTTTTGCCGAAGAACCTCCACCAAGCTAAAATATAGGACACAAACTAAGATTTGACAATTAAAATCATGCCTTAAACTAGGGGCACTTAGGCTTTTGCATTTATGTATTGATTATACATGTTGCAAAATGAGGTTGGTTATATTTAAATACTCAGATTTATTTCAGCCTTCAATAAAACAATTAGGAACAGGGGGCAAAAATCCATCCTGCTTTACTGCAGACATTCCGAATCTGCTGTGACTAACGGAAGGAGTGAAGATACATTTTACTTAATGTAAGACTAAAAATACATGCTAGGAAAACCACATGACATAAAAAGATACATATATATATAGTATACCTCTTTAAGGTAGGATCATTAAAAAAAAAAAAAAAAAAAAAAAGCAAAACCACAACAAAAAGCCAATCCCAAACTAAAAGCAAGTCCAGTAGTAGCTTTGAAGGTGAACATGAAGATGAAAATAAGAAATAACATTGTATCCTAATAAATGAGATGCAACTCACACAAGATTAGAAACTGTTTCATGCATAGTGCATTTTGTAACTGAGCATCAGAACACTTCCCAGTCATAACCTGCATCTGTAGATAACAGTTAAAACCCAGAGGAATCTGGATGCCCGAGGCATTAACAGCATCTCCTCTTTCCCAATTTTATTTAGAAGAGGAGATAGTGTAGCAGGAAAATAATGCGACTTATGTCTAATCATAAAAAATCGTGAAGGCTATTAGAAGAGAGTGAACTGCAAATATGAGATATTTAAATAGATGTTGCTAGTGTCTATCAAACTAGAACATTTTGCCCTTTTATACTTCTTTTGATGCCTAGCTCTTAAATCTCAGTATTTGCCTAAAGAGCTAACATCATCTACTACTGTACCACACCTAGCAAACTTTTGGTTGCTTTTGTAATATAAATCAAACAATATCAGCAAGGCTAGGGGACTGCATCTACCCCGTTTCAATTAAATCTTTACCTACCAACACATTCCATGTCAAGAATTAAAATATGGAATTCAGCAGAACAGTGACAAAATCCTGGTAAATGGCAAAGGGTCAGAGTGGGCACAAGTTGGTAGATGAGGGGAGAGAGTGCCACGTAAAGAGAAGAGCTTTCTCATTTAATCTGAAAGGTCAGAGCAGAGCTATTCCTGTAAGTGGACAGTTTTCTGGGGACGCAGACATTACTTATATGAAGAATCACAGCAGTACATGTATATTTAAATGACAGGCATTAGTTACAGAATGTAACACACGAAAAATTCATCAACGCAAAATTAATCCTTGCACCTTTGTAAGAGAAGACCTTCATAGCTCCTATTCAGGTTATGAACATTTCTGAAGACAAAAAAAAATTAAAATCTAGGAGATGGATATGCCTATCACACCTCAAGTGAGCAACCCTCCGACCATGACTGCATCATAAACCCGCACTATGACTGGATCTTGTCTTCCAGGGAGTTCTTTCAGGAGCCAGTTTTGCAAATTGCTCTCTTGGATTATTGCCCCCATCTGGACACTCACTGGGATGCAGGCAGGCAGCCTTGTCCCAGTCAGCCTATCACTCTCAAGAGTGATGAAGTTTAACTGAAGCCACACTGGAATAACAGCATGCATTTCAAATACAAATCAGGATAACAATGTCGATATAATGATATATGTTTAAATGATAAAGCTCACCCTTTGAAAACATCCTAGAGCTCTCCTGATACGAGTGGTTGATTACAAATTTAATCTTGCAAGAATTCAGACTTGTCCTCCACTAAATTCTGATGAAAAATCCTTCCTAATACCAAGTGGAACAAATTCTTTAGAAAGGTTCTCTGAATTCTGTAAAGCAAGTCAATCTTCTTGGCATTATTTCAAACACAGTTTTTAAAATAAAAAATTGTTTCTATTATTTTATGTTACATGAGAGACTATAAACCAATCTTGCCTCTTTACTGAGTTTCACATCGACAAAATATTCTATCATCAGCTCTGGGTAGATGCACCCTGCTCTGTTATTCATCATGTGATAATATGGCAGCTGGAGTTGAAAGCACTTACACAGCTATACCAGTGCTCTGTAGGTCAGAAAGGAAAACCTGCTGCTGGGCAGGGATATGCTTGTATGAACAGTACAAGAGGTGTTTGCTCTCATAGATTTGTGGACACCATGGAAAGGAAAAGGCTCTAAAATCTTCCCTTTTTCCAGTCCTTCTCCTCCATTCCCATCTCCTGAAGCAGTCAGGATCCTGCCTTCTCATTTGTGGCTCAACCACTGCTGCTTTTCCAGACAGCAGCACTGTTCCTCTTTCCAGTGGAATCACGGAATAGTTTAAGTTGGAAGGGAACTCTGAAAGTTATTTGGTCCAGTCATCTGCTCAGAGCAAAGCTTATCGCACAGTTTGATCAGGTTGCTCAGGGCTCTGGCCAGTTGAGTTCAGAGCATCTCCAGGGATGAAGATCTCACACCCTGTCTGGTCAACCTGTTCCAATGTTTGACCAACTTCATTGAGAAATTTTTCCTAATAGCTAATCGAATTTTTCTATGGTACAGCTTGTCCTTTCACTGCTCATCCCTATGCCCTCCCATTACATAGCTGGAGACAGCAAGAGGATTCCCCCTTAGCCTTCTCTACTCCAGACTAACACCAGCACTTGGCGTATCATTTGCCCCAGCCCCCCCCAGCCATCATGGTGGCCCTTCACTGAACTCACCCCACGATGTGAATGTCTGTCTTGTACGAGAGCCCAGCCTTGAGGTCTCGTGTGCTGAATAGAGGAAAACAGTCACTTCCCTTGATGTGCTGGCTCCGCTGGTAGGGATGCAGCCCAGGACCTGCTTATCCTTCCCTGCTGCAGGGCACACCACTGACTTTGCCTCCAGGCTCTTCAAATCCTTTTTGATAACTATTCTTGGTTATAAAGGCCTGCCTGGGAGAAGATGATGTCTACCCAGCAGAAGCCCACCTGCTCCCAGCAAACAACTATCTTGTCCCAAGTCTGCATGTTCATGCATTTGACCTTTACTCAAGTAATTAATATGTTAACCAAGTGCTCGTTTATGAAGAACTGTACTTTTACAGAAGTGAAGATTATCTGCCTGAGTATCTGTGATATATTTATGCTAACCTTTTTCATTGCAAACATTATGAAGAAGAAATACCTCCAAAGGAGTTACTGTATTTTAAATAATACATAAGGAAATTTACTGGCTGACCATAATATCAGATGTTACTGATGGTATCACCCTGCACCTGTCCATTGAACTTTACTGCAGTCTGCATCCCTAGTTGGGCTGGGGGGATCAATTTTGCTGTTGGGGGTCTTATTTTCCTAGACACCAGTTCCACACCCTGGTAGGTTTTTCTGATGGAGCTCTGTGCATACACCAAACTATGAACTAGTTAAAGCAGGAGCTCATAGGTATTGGATCCAGAGCTGCAGACTATTCCTTTTCTTCAGTCCCTAAGGCAGACATTCCATACACAGCCTTGCCTTACACAAGGAGGCTGCACGCTTTTTCCTAATAGAGGAATCAAGAATCTCTAGTGCAACTTTACACTTATCTCAAAACAAGCATGATTTAATCCCTCTTCTGAAAGCATGCTGTGCAAAATATAAACAGCTTTGAGGGTTAGGAATTCACATTACAGCAGGATAAAAAAAGACAGAACCTGCTCAGCTTATTTTGCCGTCTCCAGCTTGCCTTATGACTAATAGAAATTCCACTTCAGCTTTATTGTTTCTGAATTCTTGAACCAAAGTCACCTCTCATGTTTCTATGAAGAATGCCTTGCAGTAACTAAGGCTTCAGTGACCCTCTGGGCCATCTGCCACCATTTCCTTTTGCAACGTATTACTTTGACTGCAACTTTGGTAACACTCCCTCCTGCAGAACTATTGTAGAAATAAACTGGAGACTAGGATGGCTCTAACATCTTGAGCAGACTGTTCTAGCCATAAAAGTATTTTGCTAACTTAAGGGACTTTTGATTTAAATGATGTAATGCTTTGGCGATGCAGAATATATCTAATACAGTGACTAGACTAGTGTTGACAGACCATCTATGATCTGGTTTAGACATTTTTCCAGGAATACTCTACTTTTCCATTTCTAAGGCACGACAGTGTAGAATTCTAAAATGCCACCTGAGCTTGTCTGACATCTTCTTTCCAGTTAATAGTTTTATCTTATTTATGCACTGAAACAAATCACTGTTTTTGACGATCATTAACAGGAACTGAACTGCTTCTACACACTAGACTGGTTGTAACTGATGTTCTAAAACCCAATAATCTCTCTCCTTAGCTTTGTCCCTGAAAACAAGATGTGAATATTCTTGATTCCCGAACTGAATTTCCTTTCAAGCTAGAACCGATTAACCTGCTTATCATTTTCGCTACAAAACCCAGAACTCCCTTCTGATTCCATCCTTTTCCTTAGCAGCCAAAACTATCTAAACAAAAAGAACCATGACACCCCCCCAGAAAAACCCACACAAATCCCAAACAGAAAAGAAAATCCCCTTTTCCCTGCTATCAATAGAGTTCTCTTAATCCACACAGAAAGAAACTGAGGGAGACATAGATGTGCAAGTCATTGCTACTGTGTGCAGGAAGCATGGTTTTGCCATACAGACCTCTCTCTTGCTTTTCCTTTGTAACACACATTTTACTGCATATAAAATTAGAGCAATTCCACAATGGAACAACTCAGAACAACCACTACAAGAAAATCAGCCAAACACCCCCTTCTCCAGCATCACAGACACAATCTGGAAGGAAGTGCTTAAATCCTTAACTCTAGTAAGTTATGAAAAGAAAAAAACCTCAAAATAGCACATTTGTAAGGAGAATTCACCCAGTGGGAAGCTGATTTGTTTTTCTATCTGTGAACCTTCTTTTAGGAAGACTGTCAAAGTGAATATAAAAACGTGTATGTTTTTATTGGGATAGCAGAATAACATGATGCCCCTTACTACTTCAATTACCCACTGATATAACGGAGGACTTGCAAAGGGAAATTCTTGTCAGGATCATATTGCCATTAATATGAGCAATCCAGAAAACTAAATTTCTTTCCTCCAACTAGAATGAAAGATTTTCCCTCCCCACAAAATCTGTCTCTCATTCCATATGATCCCTTTGATAGAAGCAATTTTCAACTGCTGTCTATTGCACAAATGTACCAATTCTCTGAGAACAATAGAAGATGACTAACACTAGCACAGATTTTTAGTCTAATTCTCTTAAAACTCCCTCTTGCTATAGCACATACCAGCTATACTGCTTTTAATTAAAAAACAAAAAAACCTGTAACTCTTTTGGGCTGAAATTATTGCCCACCTTCTCCATTTTCTGCACTAAAACTAAACATGTTTTTTGAATAAGAACGTTGTCTTAAATCAGATTTTTTTGTAATGAAGTAACAGATTGAGTGACAGACAGGGTTGGATAAAGCAACTGATAGTTAATACCCCAGACAAATCAAGAAGTACAGGCTTCTGTTCTTTTACAATATAGAATATACGCTATTAGTTGTTTCCTCCCACTATTATCATTTAAGGTCCCACCTGGCATCAATGAGTGGGACTAGATGTCAAAGAAGGCTTAAAATCAAATTACAGGCTCAAGAATTATCAACCGAGATTAAAAACACTGTCTCAAAGTTGCAGAATTTCATACATTAAGGGCTGCCACTGTGAACCTTGTTTTGATTCAAGCAAGGATAACAATAAATCTGTGTATGAATATAAAACAGAAAAGAAAAAGTGAAAACCAATATTGGAGGCTACACAGCTGAACTGTGATAAAATGCACAAATCTCAAACCCATTCGCATTCTGGCAGAATACCATTTAAAGGGTTTGCTTATAGGGTCTCCAGAGAAAACAGCAGTAACTAGGAGTTTAGCTGTGAAGCATACAGTATGGTATGTTAACTTCAGAAGAGACAGACGTACATACTGCTTTACAACTGTTTGCTATAAGACTCGCAGTCTTCTTAAAAGTCTTCTCGAGGTAGTGAGCAAATCTCTCATTCTCATCTTCCTTGGAACCCAATTGGAGGAATTCACCTAAAAAGTTGCACAGATGGGAGTTTTTATTTGTGAGTTTACTACTTAGGCAAGCATATCTGAAGATAAAAACAGAAAAAAACCTTACCACGCACCAGATCTTCAATCACCTGAGTTAAAACAGAGATGATAGTAGTGTTTCCAATTCGTGCTAGAGCTACGGAAGCAGCTGAGAGGATGAAGTCACCAGCTAGAACAGCCTAAGAAAAAAAAAAAAAAAAAACAAACAAAAAATTGATCTGTTAAGTCTTTTCTTGTAAGCGTTAGTACAGACAATACCATTTCCTTTATTTGTCAGGTCTACTCACATTGCATCATCTTCCTACATAAAGCACACATATCTCGTTGTAAGAGTGAGAAAACAGAAGATAACCAAGCATTAAATTTGAGGCATTTTTGAGTCCCTATCTTACAGTGCTGTTTATATTTTTCTATATAAGCACTGTCCTCCCTGTATGCACTATCTGAATACATGTTACCTGTGAAGTTTTTTTGAACATTCCTTCTCTATTTGACCATTCTGTTCTGACTGTTATGCCTTGTTAGCTCTGAACTGGTATGGTAAATTCTGATGTAAGCAGCGTAAGCAGCGTACTTCTTTCCTTGCATTTTCTGATTAAGATCTTCCTTAAGAAACACCTCTCAAAAAATTTAAAAAATTTTCATGCTGACTGAAAATCTTTTTGCACTTGCTACTGAATCAAAGTAACATACAGTGTTCTGGATGAGGTGCTGGTTCAAAGTATTCTAACAGCGCTTCAGAGAATAGAATAGGGAATGTAAAATCAGGAAGAATCACACAATCACACATCTAATGTTTCCAACAGTTCAGAAAAGGAACACACATTTGTCTTACCCACAATCTGTGTACACCCCTTCAAACTTTTTCTGGTGTATCCCAAGACCGTGCCTAGGGATAGCAATGTGACAAAAACCCTAGGTATTTGTGCTCTGATGACACCCAAAGGCAAGTCATACACATAATAGTAAACTCACCTTCCTCTCTCCCCAGATTTGATTGACTGTCATTTTTCCTCTGCGAGAATTTGCATCATCAATAACATCATCATGCACTAGGCTAGCTGTGTGGATCATCTCAGCAATTATGGCCACCGAGCGCTGGCTTGCTTGCACCTCCCTAAAATAAAACACAAGAACTGTCAAATAATTAAATCAGTTATAGATGGTGAAATCCATTAAAGGAATCTCTACTAAAACCAAACAAAAAGTGTTTCTCTGAAAACAGCTTTTGCAGCTTTTCCATTGTCTGAACCCCATCTTTCATACCTGGAATTAGGAAGACAAGAGAAAGTAAGATCACGTTAGTACAGTAAATGCAATGGGACCTTTCCATCCTCATTAGGCCTGTTTCTGCATTGCTGCATTAACAGTACTGCAGAACACCTGAATCACTGACTCTAATCCCTCTAAATCCAGACTGCAATAAATAGCACAGCATCAAGGATGCTTGGTTCCAAGGAGATGGAAATCTGGAGAACAACAGAGAAAAGAATGCCAGGTAGCTCTGTAGATGAGTGTTAAATTTGCCTTATCTCTTTGTTGCTTTACCTGTAAGACACAGCATCACAAACGCTCCAAAGCTGGCTAACTCTACTAGCCAGCAAGCTGGAGAGATCAGCAGGCACAGAAACCTGTATTCTACATTTGAAAAATAGAACTCTTGGATCTTATCCTTTATGTTATCCGATTACCTTAAGATCTCAAGAGGTTCTTCAAAAGCCTCAAGAATTAACTGGAATTATACTGCAATCACTGTAAAAGCTAACTACCTAACACTTCAGCCTTTGGGAAGATGTAACAGAGATGATTCAACTCTCAGTAGTTCACACCTACTTTACTTTTTAAACTAGGTGAAAAGAAGGTAATGAAAGGACATAGAAGCAATTATCTAGGGAACAAGGTTGGTAAAATGATCATAAAGCCAACCCAGCTCACACAAAGGACCATCTACCCTAGTATCCAACTGCCACTTCCACATTCTAGTATCTCTTTTTTTCTACCTATTTTCATCATAGGTTGTATGCAGGATGCCAGAAACGGCTATCCTGGTCAGCCTTGCCTTATAGCTGTAACAAGCCTACAAGGCCATTGAAAAAAAAAACCAAAACCACCACACACAAACCCGACAAAAGAAAAAACCCAACAAAAGAAAAAATTACTTCTGATATACAGATACCTTACTTTTGGTATACAGATAACAATCACCCTATTTTCTAGCAGAACAGAAAAAGAACTGTGAGAAACAGAAGATAATAATTTCAGCTCGGTGGAAGGGCATTTAAAAATCTTCTTGCATTGCCTATGTCTATTAAAATCTAGTGATTAATCACAAAATGAAAGAACATCTTGCAGTCTGCTGACATAACATTGCGTTCTGACACCTACATCTATACAGAACTCTGCATTGCTGTCAGTGGGAGTTCTACATCCTGAACAATAGCAGGATGTGTGGCTCATAGGCTGTGAAAATGTGGCTTTTAAGCAACAGAAAATTAGAGCTGGAAACCTTCGCGGTTGTTTGAAGGTAAGTTTTACTGTGGACTAGTAATTTACTCAAATGCTAGTTCAGTGTAAGTAGTTTTCCAAAATAAACTATTGTTACGAAGTAGCAGAACTTACCTTCAAAAAACTGTAAAGGTCTCCAGCCTCTTTCATGCACTGGTCTCCTTTCGGGGACTCCCTTTTTCATTAATTATGTCAGCAGACTGGACTTCCTGCTGGGAAGTAGCAGTAAACGGCAACATTCACCGACACACCAAAATTTTTCAATAGTATGAAGACAGCACAAGGACAGACATTTCAAAAGCAGGTTTTGAAAAGTTCTGCATTTAGTGCATTTCATCTCTGACAATGACTAAAAATGGCATAGGAATGCTCATGGTTCGTGTATCTGGTTCCCAGAATGTTATATCAGATGTGGTAATTTAGCGTGAAGGGTTTTTTTTTAAAACTACAGTTTCTGCAAGGTCTCAAGCAAGGTTCTTCCCATCGCTGGCAAAAAAAATTTGCAATAGTTTCCTACAAGCATCTTGTGAGAGTAATTGTGAATCAGGGCATGTCTATTTTAGGGAAAACACTCAATAAACAGGATCCTTCTTATTCCCTGCCATTTTTCATTCTGCTTCGCCTGCAAAACAAAAGCAAAAAGTAGCAGTAACTCAAGTCAAAAGATAACTGGGTCCCCAGAAGTCCAGTAAGTGGAAAGAGGCCATTTGTATGTCATTCTCAAAGTAAAGGCACCCCAAGATGATATATATTTACAACAAAATTTTATACAACTGTAAGTTTATCTTTTTACACATGCATTATATTAATTTGAAGTCCTCGATCATGTTCTATTTTTCAGTAGGACCCCATACTTGATTCTGTGATAAGTTTTTACAGACCTACAGTACCCTGATGTTTTTTCCATTACAGAACTTGTTTCAGCTACAGTAAACAAGACCAAGGTGGATCTTACACGTTAAAAAAAAAACCCAAAACACCTCTCCTCCAAATATTCCTCTTCAAAAAAAAAAAAAAAAAGGGGGGGGGGGGCGCAGGACAGGACACACAACTCAACATAAACAGTATTTACACTCTGAAACAAAGAGATCTGCAATGTGTTTGCCCATAAGTACATACTGCCAGTTTAAAGACAGGAAATGTGCAAAAGAACTTGCAAAATTTCTGTGTTATGACCACACTCCTCAAAGTAGGTTTTTGCTGTTAAGTCCCTGTGGCTGAAAGAAATTAACGTTTCAGAAACACAGTCTGTGACATGGAAGAGCACTTCAAACTAGGGGAAGCATAGAGAATGGATGTGTTAACACAGGAACAAATTACAGAAGAGCTGAAAAACAGCATACAGCACAGGCATCTGACAACCGTGGTATGGAGGAGTGCAAGAAAAGAGGACTAAGGTTGCTGGCAGGTCCTCATATCTTTAAGAAATATTATTCTATCAAGTTTAACCAGGTCATTATATTTAAGTATTTCTCACACTATTCCGATTATTTCCCTTTTCCCCCCCTTAAATATTTTGCGCTCACTGTTTTCTCTGTTGAGACGTCTCTGTACTTTGACTTTCTGTTATTTGTCTCTCTCATTCTGGTTGCAGAAACAAAAATAAAAACTCCTATTTGCAAATGCCTCTGGAGAATACACCCTAAACAGAAACATTAGGTCCAGTCAGGCTAAGTGAATCTGAGAAACTCTGCACACAAGTATGTGAAGAACTGCCAAAAGAGGTGTGAAATTGAGGGTTTGAATACTACAGCTTAAGCTCTTTACAATTCTCACTCTCACGCAAAGCTAAGTTGCTATCATAAAGGAAAAAGGCTATGCCCAAGGGACCTAAGGACTCAGGGTTTGACTTCCAACACTTGAATCTTCAAGGGAAAAAAACCAATATACCAGCATGGAACAATTTGAATGCTTCAGACACTTATGTTCTTGATAGTAGTTCAGATTCTTTATGCAACTGTCATTCTCCTTATTATGACTACAATAAAGTGACCTCACTCTAGAAAGACAACCTGCTGAGGGCATTCTAAATACCTAGCTTCCCCAAATCTAAACATAAACAATCATGTCACCTAACCTGTAAGCAGAGCTACCTGGGTGTTCCCCTCCATTCACTTGAGAAGTTTCAGCTATGCTGGTGGGGCTCTGTGAAGACAAAGAAGTCACTTCTGGACTGCCTCATAAGATCAAGACCTATAACCTTACAAGGTTGTGTCCTGTTATTTTAACAGCCAAACAAGGAAATGTATTCCCTTTTCTACTAGTATCACACACAAAAAAAAAAAAAAAAAAAGAAAAATTAGAAAAAAAAAAAAGAAAGAACAGGTAAGAGCATGCTGACTGAGTCCAGCAAGTTATATGACAGTTGAAAATGTCAGCAAGATGAAGCAGAAACTCAACATTAGTAACACAAACCCCAGAGGCAGAATTAAAAAAATAGGGATGAACAGCAGAGGATATTGGCTCACCCCACAAGTCTACAGATGTTGCAACCAGTATCTTTGATTACATGTGTGGGAACCAAAGCTTCAATAAAGAAAAACGAGTCTGAGAGAAGAATCAGTATCAACTGAGGAAAAGAACAATAAAATGCTTTCAGGGAAATGACAAGTTGAAAGAGGAAACACATCTTTAAAAAAAATGTCAGGAAAAGCAGAATGGAAAGAAAGGATTTTTTTTTTTCCCTCGAGTCTATATCAGAGTAGCAGAGTTACAAATATGCAATGTTTCCTTCTCTACATATACAATTTTCCTCACAAACAGTAAAAAGTTGGACGAACAATTTGTTACCTGGAAGCAATGCTGTTTTAAGAAACAAGAATCATGAAGCCAGTATCAGTCTGAACTGGAAGTACACATATACACAAAGCAGGTGTAACACAGCCTGCCTCCAGACGGTTAAAATGCCCATAAAAATTCATCAACTCACAGTAAGTGGCTAACTGATTTAAAAGTATATTCTTTTGGCATGGCCTACCCAACCCACAAAAGACATTGATCATCATGCATGAACCAAAAAGCTGAAGACCTGTATAAACATATGTGAATTTTAATTACAGTCATGGGCTTAGAGAAGACTGACATGAGGCAAAGCGTAAATACACTGGGATTTCATTCTCTTCGTTTACTGAAATATTTCTGTTCTCCCTACTCAGAATTTCATTCTAAAAACATGACAGATAGTGACTCAGTCCATCCTTATACAAGGAACATTCTGATTAATGAGGAGTCCTTTAAACATCAAGCATAGTTTGGAGGTGCTGACAAAAACCGCAACAGATGTACAAATGCTGCCACGGGCATCTATAAATCAGAGCGCTTATGCTGAGGGTTGGCTACTGCGAAGCAAACACTTGCCTCAGGCATATGTGGCACTTGAATTCTGAGATCACACTTTCTCACTGGTATAAGGCAGGTCTCTAACTTGGTCCTGATGGTTTCAAGACAGCATAAGGCATGGACAAGAATATGTCCATGAACATACACATATGTCAAAAGACAGCAAATAGACTTTGAACATATAAAGGCAAATTCAGTTCTTTCTACAGCTCCTCCTTGTCTTTGGTTTACTGATCAACTCCTACACCGTATGACATCAATTCCAGCCTTCTCAGTATTGCATGTACACTACATAATTTCGTTCATAAGCTTGTCATGCTACACACTAGAATGAGATAAAACTATTTCTCCCATTATTCTGATTAGGATGCTCCAAAAACCTACCATCCCTGTTGTTAAAAGTCTCCTCCTGTTACCACCCTCTTAGCAACATTGTGCTTTGACTTAAATAGCTCTTTCACCCCTGTCCCTGATAAATTTGTCGACCACAATTCCTTCATTCTCCCTGACTATATCTGCTGTCCATTCCTGAAGCTTGCTGGACTTATTTTTTTTTTGAACACGAGGATCAGACATGCTGATGATTTCACAAAGCATGATATACAAGAGTATCAGCACTCCCATAGCTGAAATGGATATACTATCGTTGATGCATGCTAGGATTACTTTAAGGTTTTTTATAGAGAAGGTGGATGCGAATCACACTGGGGTTACACCCTAACAGGACACTCATGAGTCTCCAAGCTCAAGCAGAAATTTTTGGTTTATTGTGCTTCCTTTAATTCCACCGTGGATGTTGAGTCAAGAATGATTTTGTTGTCAGAAAGTGCCATCATCACGCTCCTGCTTTTCACGTCAAGATCACCAATGAAAATATTTGCTGTGACAAAGAATGTCCTTGAGGAGTTTCACAACCAATATGGTTGCTTTCGCTACCTCTAAGACAATGACAAGGAGCAGTACTGAATGGAGAACAGAATTAGGCTGGAGTGAAGTTCGTTAACCCTGGACAATGTTTTCCTAAAACATGAGGAATTGGCACACAGAGGACAGGACACTGCCAATTAGGTTCTGCTTTCTCCTTCAAAATTATATTCACATAGGAGGGGGTATACCAGGAGAGGTGCCATACCAAGCAGCAAAATATATGCTATGCTCTAAGGTAGAAATCAAGTACAACAAGGCATTAATCTACCACTGAGGAAAAAATTATGCAAGACCTGAGAGAAATCCCTTGAGACTGATAAATTAGTCTAGAAACACTTCTGGCAAGGAACCAAAGATTTCATATTTGAAATTATATAAGAGGGAAGACCAGAAGTGTAGCTGGAAGACAGAGAACACTCCAGCCAACATCTTTCCTCAAAATGGCAATTTAACAACTAATAGGAACATGTGGGGAGAAGCATTTGCAATCAGCTAGAGAAAGGAGCAATAGAAAGCACAGAACGAGCATGATAGCTCTGTTAAAACTGCTTTCAGAAGACAAGGAACTTGAAGAACACGAGGATTACACCAGCTCTAAGCTTAGAATCTTACATTAAAGTGTAGAAACTTGCTCCTAAAGGGGGAAAAAAAAATATCTCCAAGTGTTTTGAACGTCTCACAGCTTTGAACATAATCGTATCAGCTGCTTACTGGCTCTTTTGCATAATTACAACAGCTATGAAAGTCTCCTCTTGCAGCACAGTTACCTGTGACAAGATTTTAATAGCTACAGGAGTGATTACAAATGAAAAATACTTTAAATTAAGTTCATGTAGTTTCAAGGAGTATTAAAAGTTCTAATAAAGCATTTATGTAAGAAGATAAAATTGACAAAAAGCCTTATAAATATCAGAATTTGGCAACATTATTTATCCATCAGCAGTTACAACTGCAGTATAGTCCACAATTTTACATGTGGAAGCATGTAATAAAAGTTCCTTTCACACTGTTAACTCCAAAAATACAGCTTTACAATGGAACTTAAATTCAGGTTTTACTGAGGAGCTTTTTATTTTCATAAAGTTACTAGACATGTTTTTCAGGAACACAAGAATGATAAATTTCAGGTATGATATATTTCCATATATCAAAAAGTGACTGACTCACCTGGAATTATTATGGTGAATGTTGCAAGCCCTTGCCATTAGCACCACAATCATTGGTCGAAAGGCCTTTCCTTTCCCATCAAAGTAATAATCACACATTTCCTTAAGTTCTGCTGCAGATACAAGTAATTCCTATGAAAAGGAAAAGAACATACCAGCATAAAAGTCACAAAGCCAATCTGTTTAGTGTAAGCAAAACAGTACGCATGTATAAAGTTACCACTCGCCTTTTTCTTTTTTTTTTAATTTTATTAGGAACCTTAAAGATCACATAGGTCCATCCTCCCTGCCATGGGCAGCGACACCTTCCACTACACCAGGTTACTCAAAGCCTTGTCCAACCTGGCCTTGAACCCTTCCAAGGTGACAGCATCCACAACTTATCTGCGCAACCTGTTCCAGAGTCTCAGCACTGTCACAATACTTAATTTCTTCCTTGTATCTAATCTAAATCTATCCTCCTTCAGTTTAAAACTGTCACCCCTTGTCCTATCATTACACTCCCTGATAAAAGAATCCCTTCTCATCTTTCCTGTAGCCCCCTTTAGGTACTGGAAGGCTGCTCTAAGGTCCCCCCGGAGCCTTCACTTCTCCAGGCTGAACAACCCCAACTCTCCCAATCTGTCCTAAGGGAGGTGTGCCAGCCCCCTCAACATCTTTGTGGTCCTCCATGGACCCGCTCCAATAGGTCCATGTCTTTCTTATGCTGGATGCCCTAGAGTTGGATGCAGTACTGCAGGTGGGGTCTCATTAGAGTGGAGTAGAGGAGGAGAATCACCTCCCTCAACCTGCTAGCTACACTCTTGATGCAGCCCAGAATACAGTTGGCTTTCTGGGCTGCAAACACACAGTGATGGCTCATATTTAGTTTTCCATCTGCTAGTACCCCCAAATCCTTCTCTATAGAGCTGGTCTCAATCCACTCATCGCCCAATCTGTATCTGTGCTTGGGATTGCCCTGACCCATGTGTCAAACCTTGCACTTGGCCTTGTTGAATTTCATGAGGTTTGCACAGGTCCACCTCCTAAGCCTGTAAAGGTCCCTCTGGGTGGCATCCCTTCCCTCCAGCGTGTCAGCTGCACCAAACAGCTTGGTGTCATCAGTAAACCTGCTGAAGGTGCACTCAGTCCCATCATCCATGTCACCAACAAAGATGTTAAACAGCACCAGTCCCAACACTGACCCCTGAGTAACGCCTCTCATCACTGCTCTCCACTTGGACATCGAGCTGTTGACCACAACTCTGAGTGTGACCATCCAGCCAATTCCTTATCCACCGAGTGGTCCATCCCTCAAATCCATGTCTCTCCAATTTAGAGACAAGGATGTCGTGCAAGACAGTGTCAAATGCTTTGCCCAAGTGCAGGCAGATGACGTCAGTTGCTCTTCCCTTATCCATCAATGCTGTAACCCTGTCATAGAAGGCCACCAAATCTCTCAGGCACAATCTGCCCTTAGTGAAGCCATGTTGGCTGTCACCAGTTGTCTCCTTATTTTCTATGTGCCCTAGCACAGTTTCCAGGAGGATCCACTCCATGATCTTGTGAGGCATAGACGTGAGACTGACTGGACTGTAGTTCCCTGGATATTCTTTTTTCCCCTTTTTAAAAATGAGGGTTACGTTTCCCCTTTTCCAGCCAGTGGGAACTTCACTGGACAGCCACAACTTATCAGACATGATGGATAGTGGCTTAGCCACTTCATCCGTCAGTTCCCTCAGGACCTGCAGATGCATCTCCTCAGGTCCCATGGACTTGTGCACCTTCAGGTTCCTTAAATGGACTTGAACCTGATCTCCTACAGTGGGTGATTCTTCATTCTCCCAGTCTCTGCCTTGGCCTTCTGCATCTTGGGCAGCGTGGCTGGAGCACTTGGCAGTGAAGACTGAGGCAAAAAATTGTTGAGTACCTCAGCCTTTTCCATATCCCCATATTCATTCCATCCAATGTAAGGTGAGGTTGTTTTTAAAATAACTGTGAATAATTTGAAACACAAATACTGTATTCTAGCAGTGTGTATCGAGAGAGGAAAAAAAATTGCATTCTGGTTCTACAAAATGTATAGAAATGCTCTCTCTGCCTTCAGTTTAAGTTTCAGACATCTGTTCATAAAGCATATTCTTTCAATAACTATCCCCCAAAACAATGGTTGCTATTAAAATGAGAATCATCACATCATCCCAGAATAGTGTCCAAAATCCCTTACCTTTTTAATGTCTTCATAGAGATTCTTCAAGTCTTTTCTACCAAGTTGAAAAGGGTCCTGGTATTTTACATCACTAACTATCTTACTGCAACTGCACGAGTGGGATGTACTTGTATGGTGAAACCTGGTGACAGTGTTTTCAAGGAGAACAATGTCAAAAGCAAACTGTTCCTAATTCCCCCAAAAGAAACATTTCAAAGCATTTTCTCCCCCTTTCCCCTCACACAAAATTTAACCAAATGGCTAAAATATAAGCAGAAAGCACAAAAACGCTCTTTTCAGCCACCTAATACAGTGCAAGAACAGCACAGCTACACATTGATGATCGTAGACTTTTAGGAGCTGGCAAAGTGTAGCATTTGGTAAACCCCAACCCTTAACAGATTACAGAAGTCTTTTGAGGCATGTAAAACTACACTGCTCTCAATATATTCCTTCTGAATACAGTACTGATAGTACAGCATACATTTGGAGATGAAGCTTTCATCTTCCAGTAATACACTTAGTTTGTTACTTCCTTTCCTCTCCTGTATACTGCTGGAAATACATTCTTGACTTGGATTTGAAAATTCTCCTTTGCACACCCAGCTACATTATGAATTATAAATTAAATCAATACTTCCAAGTAGCATGATGATGCTATAAAAGTTCATCAGTAAAAGGTGAAAGCTCCACCTGGATGCATTAAGATGCATTAGGCCTAGGCCTGATTTTTTAAATTTTCACTGGAGTTGAAATTTATGCCTCTTATTATGTTTCCTTTTTCAAAGTGAACCATATGGGTTTTCTTGGAGCATTCTTGCTGCCCATTGCTCTCCAGGATGGAGGACTTAGATTCAGACTCAGCACCATAGCAGCAGTGTACAGAGAATTATCCAACTATGTACTAGAGCAAATTATCTTATTTTCAAAGTTTACAGCTTACAGGTGTAACTACCCAGTTCACCTAATAACTATGTCTTTACCCATTACACACCAATATGAATCTCCAACTTACCGCCAAAATATATTACATATATTTGGAAATGAAAAAGTTGAATTTCTTTGGGTAAAGTGACACATCTGCACAAAGAAAAATCAGAGTTAATTTAATAGAACTTTAAACTGATGGAAAACATTTGATTAAAAAACCCAAGTGTCTGTTCATCAGCACTACTCTATTTCTCCATTTCAACAACCCAGCAGCAAAGGGAGTCTCATAATCTTCCGTATCACATGAGACATAACTGCCAGTATGTACATTAGCTTCTGACTTTATTAAACTGACTCTTCCACTCAGGAGTGTTGGACTTTCTCCCCTCGCAGGACCAGTCCAGAAGGCCTATCAGTTAACTTCCCAGAACTGCTCTAACGAAATTTTGATTTTGCACTTGTGGAAGGTGCAATATTCAATCATGCCCTGGCTTGCAGATAAATCTGGACTGCACCAGTCAAGGCACAGAGAAAAGGACAAGAGTTGTTTCTGTAAAGTACTACACTAACAGAAGAAGCACATGTCCTTGTTTTGCCCTGAGGCAATTTTAATTCAGCTTTCATCTTATGATAATTTACACCTGCACATCTTCCCTGCTAGATGTCAAGAACCTAACCTCTGAATTTAGCAATCTCTCCAATGATCTCTCCCTGCAGGCAGAGCCCAGGAGCCTGGGGGAATGTGCAGTCCCAAGTACAGAATTTCAGCAGAGATAGGCTGAGAACGGAAACAAGGGAACAGCACCTCTTGCTCCACTCCTGGCAGCGCTGCCAGGAACTACCCAGCCCTGCCCTGGCGTGGCGTGCATGCTGACTCAGGGGCCCAGCCCGGCTGACCCTGCCTGAAATCATTGCAATCCACACGTTCACCAAACTGCCTCTCCAAAAGTGCACACAGAAACTCTCAAGGAGACTTATAACTGGCCAAGAGTTCCCCCAACTTGCTCCTCATGTCTGTGTCTCCTAGTACACAGCTTGAAGTCTCTCTTCTTGGACACAGGGAGAGAAACGAGAGCACTGAAACAGCTCCAGAGCACCCTTCCATCCTCCTTGTGTACAGGACAAAAAAAGGCCAGGCAAGCAGACAAGGGAAAGAGAGGAAGGAGAGGAACCCTAACTTATCACAGATTTTCAATTCACTACTGCCTGACCTTGGCGTGTAGTCCTATGGCCGAGACCTTCATAAATTCACTCTCTCATACTTCTCACTGTTTTCTGTTGTTAAAAAATAGCTGATCTCTTACTATTCCTCCTTCAGTGAGGGCACAGACTCTTCCCTTTACACCACGGCATAACACTGGGTCACGCACGATGCCGGACACATCAGTCAAACACTTTACTGCAGGTCAGAACAGTGGCTTGGCCTCGTGAGGAAGGTCCAAACTAATGCAGTGAGAGAACTGCCTCCCATTACAACTCACAACGCTAACTTACGCACAAACACGTTGAAAATCTCACACTAATGAGAACTGCCTTTCCTGCAGAAAAGACTCCGAGAGGCTCTTCCCCACAACAGTCACCAATCCTGCCCTGAAAACCCTTAAGCCAGTATTTAACCTTGCACCGAGAGCGCTCCTGCCCGCCCGCCCCTCGCACACCGCCACGGCCTCCGGGCCTTCGCGCTTCCCGCTGAGAAAAAGGCCCGGCTCGGGCCGCCCCCCCGCCGCCCCATTCATTCCCGGTGACCTCCAGGCGCCCGCCGCCGCGCCGTACTCACCGCCGCGGTGGGGGCTGGCGGCGGCGGCGGGGCGCGGGGGCCGGGCTCCGGCGGGCGGAGGCGCGGCAGGGAGCCGAGCGGCGCCCGGCGGGAGGAGGCGCCGCACCGCCACCACCAGCGCAAGGCCATGGTGTCCCCCAGCCCCGCCGCGCCCGCACCGCCTTCCGGCACCGCCGCGACCCGGACGCGGAAGCCGGGCGCCGCCGCCGCCCGCTGGCAGGGGCGCCGGGAGGGCAGCCGGGCGGGCGGCACCCGCTCGCTTCCATCTCGCCGTTCCTCACCTCGCGGCCTGCCGCTCCCTCAGGGCGCTGAGCGCGGCTGAGGGCCGGGCCGGGGAGCGGCCTCAGCCCTGGCCGCCCTGTCCTTCCCGCTGGGGGAAGGCACCAGCTCTCCGCTGAAATCTCTGTGAAGACATAAGAGAGGAGAGCCTTTTTGGAGGGGAGGGAGCCTTCAAGCCGTTTTCCGACCTGACTTGGTGAAGGCGAGGTTTGGGGGGGACATGTGGTGGCCCCCCTGGGTGGCCGCCTGGCTCGCGTGGGCCTGTGGGGCCGGGCGCCCGGCCCGTGTCTGCGCCGCCCGCGGGCTCTGCCGGGCCCCTCTCGGCCCGAACGCCTCGCACCCCGCGCCCGGGCCCGGGCCCCGCCGGCGGGACGGCTCCGCGTGGACCCTCTCCTCCGGCAGCCTCCTGGGTACACCCCGCGCGACCCCCGCCGCTCCTCTCCGTACACCCCGCGCTACACCCACGGCTTTTACCTGGTGGGCTGTAGCAGCTGCTAAAGCAAAATCCAAGTGAAGACCTTATATACACAGTCAAATACTTAACTACTTTTAAAACTAGAGTGGCCATAAGGAGTTGCTTACCCCCTCCGCCCCCCCCCCCCCCCCCCTTTTTTTTTTTTGCACTAGACATTTATCGTAAGGAGAGACGTGTGAGTCCCAATTAATGCAAAATTGATAACCTGAAAGTTGATTTGAAGTACACAAACAAAACGGTATAGCTCTCAGGCAAACAAAATTGCCTGTAATAATAAAGATGATTTGTATGATAATTTTTTGGGTGATGCAATTACTTGCAGGCATTAAGAAATAATGGTTGGTGATAAATCTTGTGTCAGCTGGCTATAACAGGATTTATCAGTAGAAGTATTGAGAACCATGGCTAAAAGCAAATCTCCAGAGATGCTAAGTACCTTACAATTTTTACAAAATGGTGACTGAGGTACTGGGATTTTATAATTAACATGGTATTGTAAGATTGTTGAAAGCAAAAACCCATGCTGATGTTAAACCACACAGTATTAGTACAGTGTTTTAAAATTGTTCACTGTTACCGTGGATCAGGGTGTGAAGTAGGTCTGAAGGAAGAATGAAGCACATCTTTTGAGTACATATGTTATGCTACAGCAAGAACTGCATCTTCTGCCCCTTTAATTTGCTGGTTACTCAGAGAAGACTTCAAGGTGGTTACTTAGGTTACTTGGTGATCATCACTGCGTGTGGACTGTATACCACAGTTACTGGTGCAGTGACTTAGTCTGTTGCACTACGTCATTCAGCTGTGGGGGCAGCTGAACTTTTCTGTCTCATGCGAATACCTTTTACAGTTGCATAGAATTGAGTGCAATATAAAACAGCCCTGAGACTGTTCTAATCACTGTTAATTGAATCTACGGTTAATTATGGTTTAGATCTTAAAACTAGCATGTCCTACCAGTTTCTTTAACTGCAGAATTCAATCCTTTCCAAAAATCCCAAACAGAATAAAATCCTGAATTTATTCGGGCTTGCTTTTCATGGAAGCTTAATATACATTGTGGTAAAGAGTTGGGTTTTAATTGTTCCTGAGGTATTTTGATTGGATTTAAGAGGAAAGATATAAAGACTAATGCGATTTTGTTTTTTTTTAAAACACTTCTTGTCTGTTATATGTTTACAGATCCTTTTCCAGTTGATGCGATCCAGGAAAATTACGTCCGTAACGTGAGAAATTGCATTTTTTCAGTTGTCTATCCTACACCTTTTAAATCTAGGGTTCGTCTTGTAGCTGTTTCAAAGGTTGGCTATTATTTTTTTTTGTTTCTCTCTAATTAGTAGACATTGTTAATACATGTACTAAAATATATTTTAATATTCATATGCTACTTATTGTGAAAGCATCTTCGCAATGTATACTCTAAACAAATCGAACATTTAAAACATATTGTGAGATATCTTTTAATAATGAAATATGTAGAGAGAACATGTTCATTACCACTGAAAATTTGATCATATTCAGGTAGCATCTGTATTATGTTTTTCTCCAGGAAGTTCTTGAAAATATTTTGGATCTTGATATAGCTGTCAAAGGAACATCTGATTTTCTTCAGTTCGTCAGTGGTGGGAAAGTGATACTTGGTTCAGTTCCACTGGCCCATAGGTATGGGGGTCATCAGGTAACTACGGCACTCGTTCTTCCAGATGGAATTATGTAGGTGTTTTCATGTGAATTATACCTTGATAATGCCTGTAAGTATATGAACACTTAACATTTTGATTGCATATTTGTTCTTCATAAGGGGCTGCAGATGGAAGAGAACTGTAATATTCTTTCATGATACCATGTCTATTTTCTCTGCTTCTGTTTATGCCAGAAGCAAATTATCTTTTTAACTTCTGTTAGCTTCAGAGTCTGCTTAGCACCCCTGCAGCCTGACAAGCTCTGATTCATGGTAGGTATTATGAGCTCAGAGGAGCGGAGAAGGAGAGGGGCTCACTGCAGTACCGTGATTACAGAGTTAAGTTTAATTGAAATAGGTAAGATTATTAATGGAAAAGAATGGTAGAATTTGACTTGTAATTTCCAATTAAAAAAAAATTACAAGCTGTGTCAGTTTAGAGGCTCATTATACAAAAGAGACAGGACTGTAGCTGTATGTCATAGCTGGAAGGTAGAGAAAAAAAAATGGGGATTACTGGCATTATTCTTTTTCTGTGGTATTCTGATTCATTATTGGTGTGAGTGTGGAAATGCAGCTTTAGGGATAATGACTACTTGAGCAAATGTGCCATTATATTGTGTAGATCACAGAGAACCTACATGTAATTTGTACTGTTTCAAGTATAGCTGCTATAAATGATAGAAGACAATTACTTGATTTTTATTTTTGTCAGTTTGGTAGCTGGGCAGGTCAGCTGGGTGATGGAAGAGCCCACTTGATCGGAGTATATACGAACAGGTGTGATATTTTTTAAAGTGAATGATTAAATTGTGTTCTATTTAGCTGATTCATATATAGTCTGATGTGTACAGTTAGAAATGCTAATGGTATTTTTGCAGGCATGGTGAGAGGTGGGAACTACAGTTAAAAGGGTCAGGAAAGACCCCATACTCCAGGTAAATTTAAGTTAATCTATGTACACCAAAAGTGGATGTATTATTTTTGAGATTTGCTTTGATTTCATGACCTATTTCTTATTTCTCTGTTTTCTGTAGGAATGGTGATGGAAGAGCTGTGCTTCGCTCTTCTGTGCGAGAATTTTTGTGTAGTGAGGCCATGCACTATCTTGGAATTCCTACAAGCAGAGCTGCTAGGTATTTTTCTTTTCTTTTTCACAGCATCCTAATTTACAGGTAATTTTGTGACTGAATTTCACTGAGCATCAATAAAGCAGGACACTTAGTTTCTAAGAGCATAGATCTTTCTTTTCTTATGTAATACAGTCAGAACAAAATGTATCCCTCCAGTTTCATAGATTTTTGGATAAAAATTTCCAGTAATAATGAGTTCTAGCAGTTAATCCATTCACTTCTGTCTTTAGTATTCTTTAAAGTATTGCTTTGTTTAAATACAATATTGTGTACTGTCTGTGTCTTGCAGTGAACAGCTGTTGTTCACTTGTAAGACTATCTTAACTGAATTACCTTAATTTGAAATCTGGTTAATTTTGTAAATAAAGTAAAAAGTAGAAGTTAGATTGGGTGATTATATCTGACACTAACTCCCCTCTCCAGCTTTTATGATACTGCAATCAAGATTTTCTTCTCTTTAAAAAAATAAAATTGTTCTCTCTCTTATTGCTCACTGAAAGACTTGGAAAAACAGCAGGACTAGATTCTTGCCCTGTAAATAATAATGCCTTTAGTGTGTGTGGATAATCAATGATTCTATCAATACATTTTACATGGTTAATAAGTGAGTCTTTTATTACAGTAAAGTTAAGCATTTGCATTAATTTTTCTAGAATTAGACCAAGTATGAAAATGTTGGAAGTTGCTGTTTCTGTATTGTCATAGTTACCTAGTTGCAATTTTTAAGATTGGTAGGGAAAATTGTCTGTCAGATGAATAGATGTTAATATTGGAGGTGGTACTGAATGAGATTTTGTAAAAAAATAATTTAAAACTAATTCTATTTGAACTAAGGAAGACTAACACATTCAATTATTTGCATGATTTTCTCAGAATTAAGTCAACTGAATTTTTCCAATGATCATGTTTAAAATGTCAAGTTCATTTTGTGTTCCAAGTAGTCTCATGTCTACTCTGGCATTTTGGGGTTTAAAGAAAGTAAATGTTCTGCAGAAAAGACCTGTGCTCAGCTGCCATATGGCTAGGTGTCTGTATTTGCAAAGTGTCTGCAAACCCTCTAGCATTAATTCTAACACATTGGTTTTGTTGAAGTGCAGTTTTTGATGGTTTATTCACTGACTTCACCTTGAGACCTTTGCGGTTGCCTGTTAATGCAAAATGTTAAATCTGTCTGAATATCAGCAGGAAAGCATCTGGCAAGGTTATAGCCTTTCTTTGCCATCATCTCAACAAATTGTTCAGTGCAAAACCAATGCAAAATTACTCCTTAACTGTGCACAAATTCTACTGAGTACACAGTGTGCTTCAGTTCTCTGCTGGTGAATTGGTTGAATGCCTGGCTCTCTTAACTGCTGTACAAGCTCTCCAGACTGTTTGCAAGACTTAATTTGGAAAAACCCCAGCTGATATCCATATTCTTCCCAATGGGGAGCTGTTGTACTGAAGCTGGTGGGATGCACTTGCAGAGGTCGTGTCAAGTCTTGGCAGAAGTGTGGGGAAAAGCCTTACGGCTTATCCCAGAACACCCAGCAGGTTGGTTTGCTCTATTAATTTTAAGTACTGTGTTCCCAATGGGGTGCTACAGTTTATGACTATACAGCCAGATAAAGAACACTTTTTCATATGGTACCATTTTAGTCAAATACTGTGACTCCCAGTGATCAGTGTTATGCATTAGGTAAAAAAAGTGAGCCCAGATGCATAGTTTTCAGAGTGGCCCTTACTTGCATAGGGCTCAATGTTCATGCAAAACAGCAAGCAGAGCACTTGAGAGTGTAAAGTTCAGGCCTTAAACTAGAGCCAGGGGTAGGGAGGGGTATAGTCCATCCTTCCTTCTGTGAGTGCTGTTCCAGCTTCTCTGGTCTAAGAGCAATTTCAGTGCTCCATTTCCTGTGGTTGAGTGTACGTCTGGTCTCCTGCTGCTTTCTCTCAAGTAATGGTACTTATCAACTACAGGGACGATTTGAAAACTATTTTTATAGTGGGAATGTAGGTATCTTTATGCGGCTGCTCAGCTATCTGGCCAGCTCTTAAGTGTTGCATGTCCATTAACTTGTATTAGTAACTAACCAAATGTTGACGCCCCATGGATTTTTTGGCAGTAATAGGAGAAGTGCTGGTATTCTGCAGGAATTTTGCAGAGAGCCTGCTAAGAGTTACATAGTAAAAAAGAAACAACCCTCCTGGCAGAGGTCTGTTGAAAACAGTAGAATTTAGTAGTGTCATTACTCCAACTCCTGTTCCCTGGTGTTCTGATGCACACAATATTTTGTTAGTGTCTGGGGTTTATTCACTGTTTTTGAAAATTTTTCTTTTTCCTGAAGGATTAAGAGTTTCTTATTCCATCTCATTTATGTCAGCACTTTTTGTACTTAATCCTACAGACATACCAGTCATATATGATTGTTTCTAAGAGAGTCTTTTTTGAAAAAAAATCCTAATGTTGCTTGTGTCAGTACAGCTCCAGTAATGGGAGCAGATTGATTTCTAGATACTTTCCCCGTCCTTCTGGAACAATTCACTGCCTGTTCTCTGCAGTTATGAGAGACCATTCAGTTTGGATAGCCACTAGATACTTTCAAAAATATAAAATAGAAATAATAATAATTTAAAAATTATTATTACCATTATTATTATCATCATTATTATTATTATTTTGTTTGAAATCCACAATTACTGTTGCAAGCAACTGCACTGCACAAGAATTCAGACAAATCATTCATTTTCATGATTTTTTGTACATATTTATGTTTATATGCATATCCCGTATTTTTGGTCCAGCCAAATTCTTTATAAAATTTTGATGCTAAAGTATGTAAAACCAGAACCTAGTGTACTCTCAAAATGTCACACCTGGGAGTTGTTCTAACCCTGTGACTGACTTTGGTCATTTTTATGAATGGAATATTAGGTTTGCCTCTTGTTCTTTTCTGTGTACATCCAAGGAGAGTTTGGTTCTGTCTTCTGTGCAGTCTTGAACTACCTGATAGTAGATAGCAGCTATTATAGTAGCTGCATTAAATTTCAAATAGCATGCCATGCAATTATTTTGAATCGTAGAATCAGAGAATAGGTTGGGTTGGAAGGGACCTTTAAAGGCTGTCTAGTCCAACACCCCTGCAATCATCAGGGACATCTGCAACTAGATCAGGTTGCTCTGAGCTCAGTCCAACCTGACCTTGAATGTTTCCTGAGATGGGGCATCTACCACCTCTCTGGGCAGCCTGTTCCAGTGTTTTACCACCCTCATTGTAAAAAATGTCTTCCTTATATCTAGCCTAACTCTACCCTCTTTTAGTTTAAAACCATAACCCCTTGTTCTATCACAACAGACCCTGTTAGAAAGTCTGTCCCCATCTTTCTTATAAGCCCCCTTTAGGTACTGGAAGGCCACTACAAGGTCTCCCCAGAGCCTTCTCATCTCCAGACTGACCAGCCACAGCTCTCAGCCTTTCCTTATAGAAGAGGCGTTCCATTCCTTTGTAGCTCTCCCCTGGACCCTCTCCAACAGGTCCTCAATAGAAGAATGTTTTCCAGTTATCAGCAAGCAAAGATAAAGAAGAATGATACAAAATGAGCTAATTTTTCCTGCTGCTAGACTCTTGAACAAGAATTCTTTTGTGCCTGTTGAGGGGACAACACCTCTTTCAGAAGATGGCACCAAGCACACTTCTGCTGGAATGTCAGTGTAATCCCAGTTGCTTTGGAGAGAAAACTTCCTACATATTAAACAACACCTTAGGGGAATATGATGCCTTTGCATAGTTTGTGAGGATTGATTCAATTTTATTTTCCCCGATATAACAGAAAATACAGTGAGATGACATATTTTATTTTGTAAAATTAATCGAAGTTGTGAAGTATTTTAGAGCAAGGTAAGTTGTTCTAAGCACCTAAAAAATCACAATATTTGGATAAACTTGAAAATTTATAGAATGTGCAGAATTTAAAGGGAAATGAAAGGAAGAGGTTGTTTTTAAAAATCCAAGTACAGGTGGTAGTGAAGAAGAAAGGAATAACTATAATGTATCATCAAAACGATGCCTTTTTTCTGTGTTGATACTATTTAAAGAGTTCCTGATTGCTAAGGGTCCCAGATCTGTCCCTGAAGTTCTTGAGAGAGCAGTTTTGGCTCATGGAAAGGACAACCTCCATCTGATGCAACAATTAGGTTTCTAATTTTTCTATCTTTCTATTTTCGCTGTTGTCCTCAGGGAAATTATGACTTATTTAATGTTATCGTCACACTAATCAGTCACTGATGTTCCAAATTAATGCGGTACTTCTCTTGAATGCAACCCCCTCCCCAAGAACAGTGTAAGTAATGGAAGTTGGACAACACTATAAAAACAAAATATATGCATCTTGCTAATGAAGCTTGGTAAGCCTTGGTGTACTGTTTGCCTTTGTAACTACAAAGCTATGCCAGCAAAAAGATCTTTCTTTTTACGAAAGAAATAAAGTTATATAAAATATGACTTGATCTTTATTGTAAATTATTTTTCCTGAGATAACTTTTTAATGTTCATTTTTTGTTTGTTACAGCTTAGTTGTAAGCGATGATGATGTGTGGAGAGACCAGTTTTACAATGGAAATATTAAAAAAGAAAGAGGTAACGAACACATTTCAAAATAATACATTGTAACACTGTAACTTAATTTTCCATTGCAAAAATTAATTTTAATATGCCATATATGTGTAATAAAAAGTACTACATAGTCTTACTTTCATTAATTAAGATAGAAAACCTCACCTGAGGAAATCAGTCTGAAACATATTGTAGTTAAAGAAATGAGGCCCTATGAACAGGTCTGCTGTGATTGTAGCATATTTGTTGTAGGGGGATAATTTTTATTTTCACTTGCCATTACAAAAATTATATTGAAAACTAGGGAAACTTTCCATTGTTCCGATAGCAATAGTAGGACAGTGGGAACAGTACTGTGGCTCTGCCATTGCTACATCATCTACACCTACTCAGAAAAAGAGTGGGATGGCACATCATGAGGAAAAATCTATTTATGTCGGTTCATTCCTTGTTACTAGCATCTCGGAAGTAATTCTAGTATTAATGCAGTACTGGAATTTTGCCTGTGTTTGCTGTTATAGCAAATTAGGCTTTATCATTAAAATGTATGTGCAGTACAGTAATACTATACATAGTCATCTGTTACGTGTTGAGCATACTTACAAAAATACCAGTTTAACTACGCATGTATAAATTCTGTATCTATAGAAACAACACATGATGGCTTTTACTATGGAACTATTTTATTTCGCTGATACTCTGTTTACATTTAAACACATGTGTCTATATTTAAGGTGCTATAGTGCTACGTCTTGCCAAATCATGGTTTCGTATTGGATCTTTAGAAATCTTAGCTCATTCTGGGGAACTGGACTTACAAAGGTTTGAATTTAATCTTCATAATAACTATATTAGTTTTCTTAACAATCAAATATATATTAGAATGCATATATACAGTTGGAATTTAGGCATACATTATTTAGAAAGGAAGATTGCATAATTTAGAAAGATAACCTATCTTTATAGCACCATACAAAAAAACGCTACCTTGTAACGGTAAATCCCTTTGTTTTTGAAGGCCTGGATCTTACAAAATGTGAAAGGCTTTATAGCTGAAATAGTTCTGGTAACTAAGCGTTGGGAAGGAGTTACTTGTTTTGGAAAGATTTCTAAATTTAAAGTATAAGTTCCTACATTTCTCATAGTTGCTTGTGAAGCTAAATTAAAAGAAATATGAAATAAAATGCTAGCATAAGTATGTTGTATAAAGTATGCTCTCCAGAAACATGCAGAACCAGAGGAGTATAACAGGCAAGAAATTATTGCATGGTTTTAAGCCTCTTAGCAATATTAATTTGTGTGTCGAGCCATTAGCATGACAGATTTTTAGTTCTGCTATAAATATTTAAAAGTTGGTCATTTCTCTTCAGAAGCAATAGAAATTGTTCTGGGGTGCTTAAAAACAAGCAAGTGCTCATAGCAGCAGTTGTACATTGTATTAACTGATAATACAATTTAACTTCCCACATCAGTTTACACTGTATTTCTTTCCTTTTTTTTTTGAAATCTCACAGCAGATTTTAGTTGTAAAACTGAAAGACTGAATTAAGGAACTGATTTTGAGTTTTGTTCTTGTTTTTTTTGGTTAAAGTATTTATGACCCGTCAGATTTAAGGAGCATGTAGAAATCACTTGTACTCATGTAAAACAGACGATTCCTTCCTGCCTGTTTTGGAGGGGGCCTCAGAAAGAGCACCAAGAGCAGGCCAAGGCTAGCGTGTGCTTCCTCCTCAGAGGACCTCCTGAAAGAGGATGTCCTGGAGTAACCAGCTAAAATTTAGGGGCAGTAGGTTGGACACCCATCTAAAGGTCATGTTGCTAGGTACTCTGATAAAATCATGACAGTTTGAGGAGAGTTCAATGATTTGCTTCAACAGCCTGATGAGAAGGTAAAATGTAGATATTTGTGTGTGCAGCCACACAACCCTTGCCCGGGTCCAACCCTTGCCCGGGTCCAGCCCTTGCCCAGGTCCAGCCCTTGCCCGTGCAGCCTGTCCCATGTGTAAGTGGTTCTTACAGCTTCCTGTGCCGGTGGCTCTGGGTGGCTCTGACCACAAGATGGTCCTACAGAGAGCATCTAAATGTACTAAATGCCACCTGCTCTGCTTTAAAGCTTTAGATCTGCAAAGATATGCATCTCATTGCATTAAAAATTGCAATGCCTTGTATCCCAATTTCCTGAGCCTGTCTTGTAGGACTGTGCAACACTGTTTTGGGAATGGCCAGCTACTATGGCAAGTAACCCTATTTCATAAGATTTCAGCCATAAAATTTTCTTTGTGAGAATTCTGATGTAGAATTATTCCTTGTAATCATATACTTTTTTTTTTGGATACGCAAACTTTTTTTTTTTTTTTCATATTAGTGCATGTGAAACCAGATCTTATGTGCTCTGGAAGTTTAACATGTGGGAATAATTTTAACTCTACATGGCAATCGCCAGTCAAATTTATGAGTGGAACCTTAGGTTTTATCTCTAAGCTTTTGTAAGGGCTTAATCCAAGACTCATTGGAATAAATGACTGAGTTTTCTAGTAACTGTTTGCTGCATGCTCTATCAGCATTTAGCTGTTTGAAAACAAGAATTTTGAATTATCAGTTCTAACAGTGCCAGTTTTGTTTAAAGAATTCTGCTTCTCCTATTACAGAAGATTGCTAGACTTTATAATCCAGGAACATTTTCCATCAATAGCCATGAATGATTCAAATAGATATCTGGTAAGTCTTTTTTTAAAGTTATTTTTATTTTCCACAAGAATGTGAACAAAAATTATACAAAGCTTTTCAGAGTTTCAAGTTGTAAGAGGTTTTAAAATTTGAAGTAAGTTTCCAGGTTTTATTAGCAAAAGTTTGTTAATTCTCTTCAGTAAAAACCTGCTTCTTGAAGTTTTTTTTCTCAAAGTCAGATATCAACATTCTTCACCACTTTTCATTATGGAAAAGTTTATTTGGAAGCTTCCATTTTCTGCTATTTTTTGTTCTCTTACTACTCAGATTTTAAATGAGCAGTGGTCATGAAGTGATGAATTATGCTTTTTCTAGTATAAATGTAGTATATATATTATATACTAGTATATACACTATAAACAAAGACATGTAATATATATAGTATATAGTAGTATATACACTATAAACAAAGTCCTATTTTCTTTTTTTGACTTTTAAATTTCTTTTTGGGTGTCTCTATGTACTCATTTATTTATAATCTTTGCTTGATAAGGTTATAGTGCAGTTATGTAATTTATAATGTGAATGAAAAGTCCTGACAGAGAGATACATTTAAAAATAGAATGCGTGACGTATTTCTGAAGTGAATCAAATGTTTATGTTATTTATTGTAGTCTGTATTTTTGATTCAGAGGACTTGAAGTAAAAGATGTATTTGATTTTAGGAATTTTTCTCTACAGTCGTATCAGAGACTGCAAATCTGATTGCACTGTGGATGTCTGTGGGGTTTGCACATGGTAAGCTACAGTAGATGTCATTGGCTTTACAAGAGTGACTCTTCATAGTCATACACTAAAGGCTTTTATTTGTCACTTTGTGCTTCAGGTCTGATGTTTTCACCTGTTATACATTAATATACAAGGGTTTTTATAACAGGTGATCTTTCTAATCTTTCAGAGCATGGCTGTATCTATCTGACACAAACAGGAATATGGGAGCAAGAATTCTCAGAATTGTAATAGTCTGATGTACAAAGACCATGTACTGGTGTCATATATAAATTTAATTGCTCTGAATTTGATGCATCTACATAAAAACTTTTATAGTGTGTAGGATACAGTGCTGTCCACCTTGTTTCATATGTATATTATGAAAAATAAAACAGCATTGTCTTGCTAATACAGCGCCCAGTCAGCTTGCAAGGAAGCAGCTAATGACCAATTTGCAAGATGCTGCTTAAATACTGTGTAGCACTGAAAGGAAAAGGAAACAGTGCCACCTATGTATAGAAACCAGATGTAATATAATGTAGTGAACAGTTTCTCGTTTTCATACTTAAAATGCATGCCAGGTCAAGAGTAAGACAGACAAAAAGGAAACTGCTCCAAAGTTCTCTAGATTCAGTGGATCTATTTCACAGCAAATTTTCTAGAGACTACAGTGTTCAGGTGGAATTTTAACTTTTGTTTCTCCTTGTTGTTTAATTGTAGGTGTGTGCAATACAGATAACTTCAGTTTATTATCCATAACAATAGATTATGGTCCTTTTGGATTTATGGACTCCTATGACCCAAGTGAGTGTAGCACCTGTTTTTAAATTTAATTTTTTACTTAAAATAAATTCTTTATATTAATTTATGTAGTTTACATGTGCATGAAAACTCTTAACTTTATTAGCAGAAAAATCCCAAGTATGTGTATTGTTTGAAGAGTTTTAGGGATAAAAAATTGTATCAGAGGCCAGTTTTGTGATATACTATACAGGTTGCGTCTCAAGTGCTAAAAGTCTTGTTAATGAAATATTACTATTAAACCCAGTGGAATTTCATCAATTGAATAGATGCTACAACAGAAACTTAGAAACCTAAAAATTGTGTATTGCTGTAAGCAGCCAAAAGCAAAAGTGGTGTACAGTAACTTAGCATGTAGCATGCATCATGTTCTAGCTTTATAGTCAGAGCAGCTAATTATATGTTGGAAGAAAAGAAATCAAACCTACCCAGGCATGGCAACTGTTTTTTGAAAGTATGAACTCAGTCAGTCTGGGATTGATAAATATAGGTCCAGTATGTACATATATGTATATTATTAGATTATTGTTCAGAGGTTGCATCTGAGTAAGCTTCAGTAACAGCAGTGGTTATCTCACTGTTTGTTTTTGTTGCAGTTACCTTAAGAAAATAGCTTGAATCCTAGAATATTATTTTGATTTTAGTTTAGAATATGATTTTGATTTTAAAATGGAGTTAAAGCAGCTATGAGAATATAAAGCACACTAAGGCCCTTAGGAGCAGGTAGCTAGTATGGTGTGTGCCTTGAACACTGTACGAATCGTTATGGACTCTGAATTAAAACAATGGGTACTGGTTATGGATCTTGAGTCAAAACAATAGGTACCAGAAGATACTGGGTTTTGGTTTGGAAGATCAGCCAAAGAAGAAATGAGCATCAGCCAAAGATGAATTGAGCATGTGCAAGGATGGAGTTCAATCAGCAGACACAGTGAGGAAGACTATTAATGACCACCAGAGGGCCCCCCCCACCACCACCATAACCACGCATGCGTTAGAGACATTTGCATATGATAATGATCTCCAGGAAATAACATGAATATGCTAATCATTACCCTCCCCTCATTCTATTCAAATCAATCAGTAAAGATGACCAATGATTTCTGTAGAATAGGAATATAGGTAAGGTGAGGTAACCGAAAGCCAATCATTACTAAGGTCAAACTAAACTTTATGAATTTTGTTGATCTTATATAACCATGACTCTGCTGAAAAAGTGTATAAATATGTTGTGCTTTGTACCTGTCAGTGAACACGTTTTTTGGTGGAGCTATCCCCTGTGTTCCCCAGTGCTGGAGTAAAGAAGTACCTGCTTATCTGTTTTGTGTAGATAAGTTCTGTTCACGATTGCGACTGGTAACATTTTCATGAGACTGCAGCCTTAAATCTCATGAGAATAAATGTTATATTGTTTCTATTGTATTGAAAAAACAGGGCTTTTCTGGTTTTAGATCTTTCTCTATATGGTGGATTGATGCCAGCCAGCAATTCAGGGCCCACCAGCCACTTGTTCACTCTCCCCTGCTGCGGGCTGAGGGGAAAAAAATTGGAAGAGCAAAGGGTGTAAAAAAGGTCATGGGTCAAGATGAAGACAGTTAAATAAATGAAGGGAAAAAAATGGGGAATGAGACACACATGACACCAACAAGTGATGCAAAGGCAATCACTCACCACCTCCCACCACCACACTGATGCCCACTCAATCCCCAAACAATAACTGCCTCAGAAAAGCTACCCCTAGTTTTTATTGCTGAGCATGCTGTTATGTGGTATGGAAGACAGCTGTCCCAGCTGTGTCCCCTCACAACCCCTTGCCCCCCCAGCCTAACTTGATGGGGTTGCAGAGTGAGAACAGAGAATGCCTTAATGCTGTGCAGGCATTCCTTAGCTAAAGCATTGGTGTGTTATCAACTGTTTTAGTCACAGGTCTAAAGCACAGCACCATACAGGCTGCTATGAAGATAATTAACTCAGGCCCAGCCAAAGCCAGATGAAATGCTTTAAAATTCAGATTTGAACCAATCACCACGTGACAGATGTGTCACAGGTCTCCTCCTTATTGCTCAATTTGTTGTTAATGTCCCCTGAGGACTCAGGCAATGCTGTGTGCATTGATAAGCTTATCTGCATTTGATCTGAGCAAGGGCTTCATACTGCGTCCATTCAGAGACTGGTGCTGTAAATATGCATGCATTTTATTTCTGTGTACCTGAAACTTGCATAGCAGATATTTATTATCTTCCCAAATAAGGGATTTGAGTACTGGAACATATTAGCCCTAGTTTTTATGTGAGTACAGAAAGAAAGCTTGCTTGCACATCTGAAACAAATCTTGCACAGGTGGCCTATTTATTTAAATACATGTTTATACATGTTGCTTTTCAAAAAATACTTGCAAATCCTGAGTCTGGTTCCATAGTTGTTTGCTTAGCCTGTGTGCTAAATAGTAGTGCTATATGTAGTAAAAACATTAAATAAGACATTATTTTTAGTGTAAAAATGGCCTTTTTCTGTTTAAACATCTGAATTTATTTTGTATCGTGAAGTAGGAAAATGTCACTTAAGACATATTGGAACTTGTCTGTGAAAGATGTGTTCCTTAGATTTGCAAATAATAGATCTTGAGTTAATTCACTGTAAATAAATATCCTGGTGATCTGATTTAAAATATTTAGTAACTTTAGGGCTTTTATTAGCTTACTGTGTAAGTATAAATAGGAATGCACTTCAATATTTTAACATTGATTGTTTATTGTAATTACTCTGTTGTGGAAAAGTAATGTTTTGTTTGAAACAGATTTTGTTCCAAACACATCTGATGATGAAAGGAGGTATAAAATTGGAAACCAGGCAAATGTTGGGCTGTTTAATCTGAGCAAGCTGTTACAGGCTCTAAAACCTTTATTGGATTCCAGGCAAAAGCAGCTGTAAGTAATCCTTAAAATACCTTAACACTTAAAAGAACTAGTGAGATGAGAGATCCTTTAATCACCATATGCATAGGAAAGAAAGGGATTAGCTTTTCTAAGTGGAAATTGATTCTGAATTAATTATTGGCCAGAATAAGGTGGAGGGAAGGAAGAAAGGATTTAATTGGTCATAATAGCAAAATATGACTGGAAGGCAGTCATAGATGTTGTGTGGTCCATTCTCCTTTCCCTAAGGTAGGACCTCTGCCTGTAGTTTTGTATTCTAAGTTTGTCTAGCTTGTTCTTTAAGATGTTTGCTTATGAAGACCATACATCCTCCTGAAGTAGTAAGATAGTATTTTAATATCCTATTATAAATACTCCTAATATGAATCTTCTTTTGTGTGGTTTAAACCCATGACTTCTTACTCAGTATAGAAAGGAAGAACATTGTATTTTTATTCTTTGCAGTAGCTACCTACATATTTGAAGCCTGTTAAAGTGTTTCCTCTCAGTCTTTTTTGCTACAGATCCTAACTGATTCAGAGTATCAATGTTTGTGAGATATCAGATAGAAGAAGTTTTCACTGTTTAGTGTACAGTAAAATTGTACCACAGTAGTATTGTAGTTCCAGAGAACTTGACATTTCTTTTGTTTTTGCAGAGCTTCCCAGATTTTGGAGGGATATGGTGAACTCTATTACATCCGGTATGCAGTTCCAGAACTCAGACCTTGTAGTCACAAAACTATAAATTATGTTTTGTGACAATTTCCTTATTTTGTTACTATTTTCAGTTTCACAGAACTATTCAAAACAAAATTGGGTCTTCTTGGGGAGACTGAGGATGATAACTATTTGATTGCTTTCCTCCTAAAAGTAAGTTTGCTTTGCTAATTTTGTTGGTAGACATCTGGACTGATACCCCATACTTTAAAAGCTCTGATAGAAGTATCTTTTTTCACTAGCTTATGGAAGATACAAAGGCTGATTTTACAATGACATTTCGACATCTTAGTGAAATAACTGAAGACCACTTAAAGGAGCTCTATATTCCTGAGGTATTAATTAATACATGCACTCAATTTTAGGAATACTTAATATAATATGAGTAAATCAGGTTGGGCATAACCCTGGTGTAATAGCGATGTCTCAAGCCATGATTTGCCTGGGAAATGTGTCATTATAGCATTATTATGGGAAAGGGAGACTAATATATCTGTGTCGTGCTACCACCCCATGTTAAGCCTGTTTGTAGTAATGAAAGATACATTGATGAAGAGTGCTGAAGTAAAATTTCCAGGCTCTGGTGCAGGTCCAGTATGAATAGTCACAAATATTCTTACACATGTGAGAATGTGATTTTCTTCTTTTAAGATGGATCTGCTAGAAAGAACTTTCCTTCCTGCCCTTTTTTGTTTGTTTGTTTTGCTTAAGAATACCTTCTGATGGTATTTTGTAAAACAAAAACGAAGTTGGACAGGGCTCATAAGTAAATTTCAACCTCAGGTTGATCAAACTATTCCTAACATGTGTTTCCTAGGTGACCTAAACATATGCTCTCAGGCCCACCAGCTTGTGTCAGTAACTAATGACAAGTGAGATGACATCTCATCATAAACTCTTGCTAGAGTCTCAGCCCACAGTGGCCTCTGCTTGAGCTTGGACACAAGATCAGTTCTAAATGTAGCTTAAAGCAGAGGAATACGTTTTGTCATAGTGTCCTGCTCAACCTGCTATCCCATCCTGTGTTGCTGCTAACTCAGCCTAAACCTATTCTTCAGGACCAAGTATAATTATAAAAGAGATGAGAGTATTAAAATAAAAGAGATTAACTTCTCACTTGGACATAATGCAATCTTTAGAAGTGGAAATATGGCTGAAATGTTTGAACTGGAGTGAGATGCTAGGCAAATAATAATTGAATAAAAATGTAGAGGGAAGATTCTGAAAAGAAAGTAAGTATCTGATCTGGAAAAGAAAAAAGGAAGCCTTTTGCAAGAGCCAAATTTTTTAATACAGTGCCTTTTCCATGTTAGGAATATTGTTCATTTTGCCTGGAAACTTCATTGCCTTTCTGTATCTTCTGACTTATTTCTGTTTGTCTTTGAATCTAATTTAAAATGAGAGCAGGTGGACTTAGAAGGTTGTTTTAGGGAGCATAATCACTGTGTGTAAAGCACAGAATGCAAATGAAGAGTTACTGTTTCTTTTTCCTGTTGCGTCCTAGATGAATAAGTGATTTTGACCAAATTCTCTTTTTTTAATTGCTTTCTTCTGTAAGTGAGAGGTCTAGCCTGACTTTTTCTATGAGCTTGAAGCCATTAATAGTTAAAAAGTTGAGATTTTCTAGTGGTAAGCCACAAAAATACAAAGAGCTGTAGCTGTGGAATTATTTGTGCAGAGGGGCTGATGAAGGGATGGGTGTGTTTGTAAGAGAAGGTACTTTTGTCATAGAATACTAGGGATTTTTACATTTCTTAGTGGCCTGTATGCAACAGGAAGAATGGAAGTCACTCTTGTGCAGTATGGAGCCACACCAAGGCTACTGCAGTAGTGGCATTTATGACAACTCCATCTCCCCTTCTTTGAAGGTGCAGGCTGAGGAACTAGTAATCGTGGTGTAGTTGTGACCCTGCCACTACACTGAGGGTCATCTGCAGCCTTCGCTTGATAGCCTTGGTAGCAGCTGACCTTTTTTTTTTCCACACGGTCAAATGATTTAGCCCACAAATCCTGTGCTGCAAAAGTGATGTGGTAAAGCAGGTAAAATTTTATGGTGGTAAAAAAAGTTTTATTTTGTTAAAGATTTTTTTTTTCATATATTAAAGTAATTTCACCTGCTGTTTATTCACACACTAATATATGTCAGTAGCAAAGTAAGCTTTCATACTGGTTTGTAGACCATCTACATTTTTTTAGCAGCTACACACTAAAATTGATCTAAAAATGCCAGAACCCTCTAGGAACACTTCAGGAGTGCTTACATTTAGTACTCACTAGAAACATAACGAAATTCCTCCTAAAGCAGCCAAACCCTGAACGTCTTTGAACAAATACTCCCATGTTCACCTGTTATCCACCTGCCTGACCCTCAGCTCTTAGTCACTTCTGTAATTTTAACTAATTTTTATACTCAAATGTGGTTTCCATATTTTTTGACTCCCTTTGAAAAAACACAGATGTGATCAAAACTTTTTGTTCTTGCTTTTAATTTCCCTGACTTAACTTTTGCCTATTTTATTCTTGTTTATCTGCTACTTACCTGCTTTTATCTATGTCCATTTCTTTCTAATCTCTTCTTTCCCTGAAGTTCTTTTTTTTTTTTTTTTTTGATCTGTGAGCTTTATATACTTTCTTTCAACTGAGCAGTGTGAAGCATCTGTTAACTCGGTGTAGTCAGCCAGGGAAGCCTCGTTTGTGGTTGTTGTCCAACACTGGAGGCAGTAACCCCAAGGTCTGGTGTCTCTCTGTTTGACTTTTCCAAGTTCTGTCTCCTCTCAATTTTTCCTCTCCTACTGTCTGTGTTCTTCTCGTCTTCTCCATCCCTATAGCCTTAAGTTTCACATTTTCTCCACACCTTATCTTTCTTTACCAATATATTTTCCTTAATCCGCAATTTTGAAGAAAAAAAAAAAATCTCTACAAACAGATCTGGTCCATGTACAAAACTCAGAAGAGAGTTAAACTTGCAGTTATGTTGCCTAAAAAATAAAACAGGTCAGGCAGTAAGCCAAGGAAAAATAGGGGTGAAGTGCTGGAGGTGTTTAGATAGATTTGCCGTAGCAGAGAGGGATTAATATGGATGTATCATGCTATCAAAGAGAAATAAATAAAATACAGAGGAAAATATATTAGTAGAATTTTGAGGGAGAAAATTCCGTGAAGCGTCATCATATGTTTCTTTCTTATCGTTTTAATATTCATTTGCTTACTTTGGTTTTTGCTTAACAGGAACAAAATTCTGATTATCTGCTATTAACTGTTCCTTTCTCTTTAGGAGTTCTGGGCTCTCCAGGATCTGAGTAAACACAAGTATTTTTCAGAATGGGTTACTATGTACCTCTTGAGATTAAATCGGTAAGTCTGATGCAGTTTCAGTTGTAAAAATAAGACCAAGTGTGTATTTGCCAGAAGCAGGCAACTTTAATCTGCAATGTTTTTCTATAATCATTTACCAGTCTAGTAAACTGGCCCAAACATGGTTTTAGATTTTAGATTCCATAATAGGTCCTGTTGTAGTTCTGTTTTAACACACATGTGCATAAAAATTACATGGGGGGAGTGGTCTGTATTTGTTGTCTTCCACTGAGCAGCTGATCAGTTTTCTTCGGTTAGTAATTTTTGTTAAAATACCAGTCCTACAGATTCAGTCCGAGAATCTGAAAGTCAGGCTTTGCAAATACATAGGAATTAATAGTGTTTCATTACTGGTAATACATATATTTTTTTTCTATGTAATAGTATGGCTTTAGGATGACAGGGGGTAGAAGTTGAACAGTTGTGAATACACAGACGGTGTCTGGAAACTGCTGGTGTTGCACAGAGAGGGACATGCTTGTTAGAACTTCCTACTGATTCTTTTGTCTTATATCAATAAAGAATGTATTTTTCTTAGTCATATGCTGTATGCATGGCTGAGAGTAGTGAAAAGAAGTACATAGCAGGTATTTGGAAATTTTAGTCAGTAAATACAATTCTTAGGGAAAAAAATCAATACAAGATACAAAACCTACAAAAAATTGTGCAGTTTTTTTCCAAGTCTGATAATGCTTAGAGATCCACACCTGCTTCCACTGAACACAAAAGCAGAACACATAATGGTTTTAATGAAAATCAAATAAAATATTTCTAAAAATAAATAAGTATAACCCTGCTTTGCTAAAGCACTTTCTTTTTTGTTCTTCTGGTTTGTTTGTCATCTATAGTAACAGGAGTGATTCAGACACCAAGAGAAGAACACGAATGACAAGTGAGTAAAATAATTCAAAGGAATTGTATGCTTGGAGATGGTAACTATCTGTTTACATAGGTTTTGTTATTGTTATTTAGTTTTCATTTTGAGGAGAACTAAAATGTACTGTTTTTCTGAAGAGAGGAAACTTACTACACTGCTGCAAATCTTGCAATACTATATACATTCACTGTGGCTGTCTGGTTTCACCCACTCCTGTGATTAGAATCTAACCACGTGTGTATAGTATAGACCTGTGAATATATATGTACTTTTCACATAAGCTGAATGATGAAGAAGTTCCTTGGCTACAGTGAGGCTTAATTCTTCTTTAGAGATCCTCCCTTTCCCTTTCTTAAAAAAAAAAAAAAAAAAAAAAAAAGAAATCTTTAATTTAATTGTCTGCATTTATGAAGAAATTGGTCTGGCCCAAGCCCCTTCTATTGTGAATACAGTCATAGTCATATCAGTTGACTGAGGCCTAGGAGTGTTAGATCATGGAAATGTACTGCAACTACTAGTTCAAATTGCTCTTCTCTAGATTCTGCTGGTTTGGAATGACAGAGCACATGTCTGTCCATATTTTGGGCAATTGAAATCACAGGTGATGAAGACCTCATGAAGAAGGCTTTTCCCATCAGTATCCACGAAGGCTGCTCTGGCCTGTGTCACACCATATGTGAACATAGACATTAAAACAATCCAGCTCAGCTGTCCAGCTATGCTCTATTCTGTATCAAACCTTATTTACCTACTTGTTTATTTTTCTGTCCTTTATTTTTTTTTCGTTTACCTTTTTATGTTTCTTTTTTCCTCTTATTTTTTTTACCCCCTTTTTTACAGTTTCCATTTGGAAGTTCAGGAGATGCCAGACCTCCAGCTTGTTTCTTGCTTTGGTGCTCATGGACTTGATTAATTTTTTTCCCCTTTTAATTCCCTTTAAGAACTTAAGAATTATTGGCCTGTGAAAACATAGTTGTCTGTATCTTGTCATGTCTCTAAGCTTCACCTTGGTGTCTTGAAATGGTGGACATGCTCTGGCAGCTCCCCAAATTGTTACCTCTTCATTGCAAAATAGGCTGCTCCCTGAGAGGGCCCCTAGGATTTGATTTCCTTGTGAGAGGTGCCCTTCCCCTTCTGTATCTGCTTTTCCTGAGTGCAAGCAACATATTTTCCTTGATCTGTACTTCTGTCCTTTAGCAGTCTGTGAATGTGTTGGTTTGCAATTGCTCACAACATTGTTCTCCCAGGATGAACTGCTGATAACATCAGGAAAGACTCTGGTAGGCACCCTGTACCAGCTCAGTGGACTAAGATTTGTCTGACTGTTCAATTCTGTCCAAATTCTTTCTACATGTTATAAAGAATTCAGGTTTCTAAGAGGCAAACACTTTTTTTTTTTTTTTTTTTTCTGCACCTGGAAGAAAAAACTCCTTACTAGTGAAAGGGCTATCATGGAAGTCAAAGGAAGGTACTTTGATTTTCCAGGGTGTTCTAAATACAAAATGATAGAGACAGTGCTTTTAGCTGTCTGTCACAGCAGAAACAGTGGATATGAAATCCTAAGCATTATCAGGGAGATATTTTTTGGATCTTCAGTAAGCTGTGGTAAATTTGTGAAATTTGCATATAAAAGACAATGTGCAACTGAATATCTCTGGCCAAAAGGGAATGAAGGAATTGCAGGATCTGATCATATTCCGCACAGGAGATGTTATAAGCTTCAATGTTATGCTGCTCTGCAGGGTGTTTTATCCTCATTTCTAATGGAAATGGCTGTACTCTTTTGCTGGATTTTGATTGGTCATTTTCTTCAAAAGCTTTAATTGATTTAGTAGGAAATGGCAGGAGATAGCACTGGCTTTCAATAATAAGATAGTAAAAACTACATAGGGCACAACTTATCATCACATGGATCTTCAAGTTTGCATCCACATTTTCTAACCAAGGCTCTATCCATTCTTAAGAACACTTCTTACAACTTTACATGTATTTTTAGAAAGTTAATATGAAAACAGTTACCCAGAAGAAAGGTTTATTTTATTATTTGTATTTTGGTAGGGTTAAGAGGCACTTAGCTCATCTACTATTTTGAGGTTTCGATCTCCTATTTTCCTCTGCTAAAAATTAATGCTGAAAACTGGCTAAATGCACTTCTTGTTTTCCTATGTTTTTTGAATCTGCTTTTAGAGAAAATTATGACATTCTGAGGTTTTATTCCAAATTGGAATGGATCCTAGTTTGGGGATGAACTTCTGCAAACCACCATCGTGTTTTTCCACATGCATCTCAGACAATCTTATAGTACAGGAAACAGACAAAACAAGGAAAAGGTTTTGCCTCCAGGATCACACTTGTGCTTGTAGTCTCAGTTTGGTAGCAGTCCAAAACTTGATATGCGAAGATGAAGTTAGTTTAGTTCATCACTTTATATTCATAGAGCAGAGGTGCAGAAATTTGTAACAGGCTACTGATGTTAATTTGTTATTATTTAAAACTTATTTTTCCTTTTAAAATCCACACATTACATTTTTGCTAGCTGCTCCATGTTACAGTCTGACTGAGGTTTCTTAGAGCGTTGTTGTTCTCTTTTACATCTATACATTTAAATAGGTCTCTTAGGTGCCCTTTGTGGTTTCTTTAAATTTTTTTTTTGCTTGTTTAAGTATTTGCTTGTAACAGCTGTCCCTTTCAGTACAACTTGCAGCAGAAATCTGGCTCAAATCAGTTAACTGTGCTTTTTTACCCCGTATTCCATGTTAATGACAAAACTGTTACAGCTCTCTAGATTTTTTTAGATGGGTTGGTAAGTCCCGCTAAATTTTGTATTGCTGTCTTTAACATTGACTGACCTTGATTATATTGCCATTGACACCTCAATATTCATCACCTTTCTCTCATTATTAGTAAGTGTAGTAAAATATCTCACTTTTCAAAGTACATTACCTTGGAGCATTTGATCACTTATTCATTATCTTTATTTTTTTTCTCTCTTCATTTAGTTTTTAGTTCTTAGTAGCACTTTAACATGTACTGGCTAAATTTAGTTCTTTAGGATTTGATAAAAAAGTTTTGACAATCCAGATCCCAATGCAGGGCTATAATTGTATTTCTCTATAAAAGAAATGAGTAAAAAAAAAAAAAAAATTGAATACCAGATCATAAAATGCTCATTAGGGCACAAAATTTCTGCTGCTTTGTCATTTTCTTATCTGGCTTGTCTTACTCTTTCATAATTAGCTTGTCACTTGTGTTAATTACAGATATTTTTAAAGCCACTGTGAAACTTACCAATTTGCAATTGTTAAGAATGTATTTCTGGGACAAATATCATCCTGCTAATATGAGTCATGGTTTTAATGTGAAATACCATTTTTTAATGAGTCATATCTTAACTTCTCCACCCTTTAAATATTCTTTTTATATTGTTATCACTCTCTGCTATTGACAACCCATTTACTGGATTAAGTCAAATACTTGGCCAGAGAAAATTATTTTGCCAAGTGGGAAAACACTTTTTTTAAGCAGTTAGGGCAGGTTGTTGTTATGACTACGTAGAGGTTATCAAGGTTCTGAATAGTTAGCTGTATTTATTAGCTTTTGTTTGAGGTATGCAAGTACATACAGAACAGCAGTAACGTGAAAAAGAGGAATGTCTGTGTCTGGGTGGATTGCATCTCAGGCTTCATTCTCATGGAAGTCAGCACCTGGACTTTGTGCCAGGATGTTGCTCTATTACCTGGGCTGCTTTTGTAAAGGAGGAAGTGGCAGGGCCACCTGGGGTGCTTCTGCTTTCAGCCCATGTCCGGATTTTGTAAGAGAGCTTCACCTTCTCTCTTCTGGCAGGAACGTGAGTAGTCAGAGTTCAGCACCTGGAGTGGAGAGTGATATTTTTTTTTTTTTTTTTTTTGTCCTTTACTTTTCAAAACAACATAAAGGCCCTTTGTATAATGCTGTTGTATGTCAGATCTTGTGGCTTAAAATGGCTGTCATTCAGTTCGAAACATGAAGAATTTAATTGTATTGTGATACATAAAATAATCATGCAGGTGGTGTTTCACTGATTACATAGCTTCAGTAAATTCTAGTTTGTTAGCTGGTTAAATGGTGCTTTTTTAGAAGCAGTGCTTATTAGAGAAGTCTGTTCACTGTACTAGGCATTAATTCTGTATCAGGAGCTATTAAATATGAATGAAATCCTGTGTTTTTGTGACCATAGAACCTTTGGAGGAGCCAGTCATAGCTTTTCCAAAGATACCAATTGTCCTGGTAGTCAGCTAGGATAAACAAGTTATGTTTGTAAGCTGAAGAAGCAGTACAAGGAGATGCAACAACAGAGTGAATTAGGAAATGGAAATAGAATAAATTTAATCCTTTTATCCAAAATATTATTTCTGATCATCCCCCTCCTAATATAATTTATTATTTGTGAATAAAATAACATGACAACTAAATAATTGAAGAAATTGAAGAGAGGGAAATTTGGGATGGTGATTTTGGTGAATGCTTTCTCTAATACCCTCTTTCAAATATGCTATATATATAAGAATATTTTATAAAGCTACAAGTTTTTGTGAAAGAAATATATAAAATACGAGGTTTGAACTAACATTCATATAAAACCTATCCATATAAAACACGTATCAATGGAAAGGGAAGGAACAGATAAAGTTTGTATATGTCCATAAATCACAGGCTTTTGATTTCAAGTCGGTGGGTGATAATGCATCTGGTATCACAGATTAATCTCTTCAGGTAATAATAAACTACTGAATTTAGGAAAATATGGAGACCAATGTCAAATTAAGATTTACAATGCAAGCGTGAAATATTTGTTACAATTAATCTGTAACATTGTTTTGATCATTAATTAAAGGGAAAATTTTCTGAAGCAGAATCCTAGGCCTTAATTGCAGGGCAAAAATAAGAGTTGTGTTGATGTTATCTGCTAAAAAATTGACAATAAAAGCCCTGTGTGCTTATGATAATTGTCCTCAGCATACTCCTTTTATGAGTTGTTAGTTGCTGTCCTGTAAGATGCAACCTGGGTTACCGATTCAGCAGTTTCATTTTCAGCATCCCTACAATCTCCCTAGCACTAATTAGGCACAATCCCCCGGGAGCATGCCAGAGAAGCAGCCCAGCTGTCATGGGTGTTTCCAAGATAAAGCAGACAGTTGTGGAAAAAACAGTGGAGTCCCCTCACCCCCAACCCCCCCGAGGAACTAAAAGAAATGACAAAGTTGAAAAAGTAGTTTCTAAAAAATACAGCTGAAGTACAACGTTAAAGGCTTATGTGGTGAAACTTTTGATATAAGATATAGAACTAGGAATATCTAAGTACATATACTTTAATGAATATCTCAATAATTCCTTTTTACATTAAGTAATGTCATACTCATTATTTTTATGATCTTCAGGAGTGTATTGACAACACTGAAATACGCTTTCCAACAATGTAGCAGGAACCTAGTCCATGGTAAACTAATCACCTAAGAAAAGTCTGTGGGTATTCATAACAGGAAATCCTTTGTGTACCAATGTGATGTCCTATACTATTCTAAATTTTATTTGGCACTTTGGCATTACTGATACGAGTTTAAAAAAATCCTTTTAGCAGCTCATAAAGAGATTTATTAATTCCTTTTTAATTTTTATGCATTTTTTTTCTTGAGCTGCAAATTAAATCTTCTTGGAGATGACACATTTCAGTGACTGTGTTTTGCTTTTGTTGAATATGTCCAACTAAATGTAACATGATTTACTTCTGGTTTCAGCTGTTAATCCTAGATACATACTTAGGAATTGGATGGCAGAATCAGCAGTGCAAAAAGCTAATTTGAATGACTTCTCAGAGGTAAAATGCTTTCTTTCTTTCTTGACACATTTATTAACAATTGGCATAACTGTTAATGAAAAAGTTGTTGAATTTACACTTTGAGCCTGTATTACATTTTGAGCAACATTGTACTAATACCAACTGCTATTAGAAATATTAACAAAAATATGAATAGTATTAATTGGCACATAAATAGTAGTGACTATATTAATAGTAGTACTAATAATAGTAAGCAACTTATGGAATAGTTTCTGGACCAGGAGAGTGGCAGAGGAAAATGTTGTTTGCAGGAAAACATTTTGTATAAAAACGTACCCATTTTAATTGCTTCTAGGTTCATCTCCTACAGCAGATTTTACAACATCCCTTTCAGAGACAGCAGGCTGCAGAGGAAGCAGGCTACTCCCTGCGCCCCCCAGCTTGGGCCAAGGATCTTAAAGTAAGCTGTTCATCCTGATGGAAATTTGAACAAGCAAGAAAAATGATCAAGGTCGAAGCTCAGGCTGTCAAATAGGATTAATGGATCAAGCCGCAGGAGCTGTTTTCCGTTATACTTTGTGGACTGGAATCTGCTAGTCTGCTAGGCAAGAAAAGGTCTTGACTAAGTTTATAAAGCCTAAAGTTTAAAGAAATGGACCAATATGTGTGATTGCGTTAGCAAATTATATTGATATGTTTAACCCTGCCCTTCCTGTACAGCTGTGCATTAATTTGAGTCCCAATATTTAAGTTCTGTCGGACTGTCACGTTAAACCTCTCGGAATTCATGGCTGATCAGGTGGGGTCTCCATAACTTTTAATGGCTGGTCAATTTGAAGACCCATCTAGTTTTAATCATACAGTATTTTGATGAATGTTCTCCTTGCTGTTACACACTGTTCAAATATAATTGTATCCTGAAGTCATAAATGTTCTTAAGTCTTTTGCAGAGTTTGAACAGAGGATCATCTTACGCTTATGCCTTGACACCTTTTCTCTTTTTGACCTTGTCTTGTCCCATTAAACTGCCAACAGAGATTTAAAGGAAATTCAGTTAAATAGTGAGCAAAGATGTCTGCTTGGGAGTGACTTGCCCAAAAATAAATTTTGGTGTCTTTGCCAGTGGCAGGTGCCTGTCAAGCCTGGCCCACTGCTCTTTGAACATGTATCTTTTGATAGCAGTAGAAAGATTGTTGGTGCATGGATATAATGCCTCTGGAAATTTTCACTGGTTGGGCATGGAAAAGGACTTTCTTGGAAGTATCTCACTACATATATAGTCAGGTCAATACACCTTTTGTGTACTGACGCTGTAAGGGACTAACAAAAAATCTTGCAGGGAAAGTATTTAAAATTCAACTGAGGCTGTTAGATAGAAGTGCTTTGAGTAACAGAGAGACTAGGCTTTGAGTCCTGGGTCTTGTCATTTATTCTTGTTTGATACTCTAATCCCACAAAACTTAGTGTATAATTAAGACGGAATTAATACACAAGCAGCCAGGTCCAATGTTATGCTAGAAAGTTTACAGCAAAAATCACTTATCTGGGGGCTTTGTTACTTCTTGACATGACCTTGTGTCTTCCCAAATCAAAAACTGGTTGTTTTAGGATCTCCACATTTCTCGAGTGCCATCTGACTCTGAAATAGAGGCTATTAAGTGGTATAATTAGCATTTTACAAATCTATTTCTAGAAATACAAGTAGCATGGAAAAAAAATATATTGTTGGTAATCTTTCAGTGACTAAAGGATATTTGAATGTCTTTTTTTCGTAACTATGATCAACACGATTATTGAGGATAGTTTCCCCTCAGATCTGCAGCTGTTCAACTAGAAATACAGTTGTTCAAATGTAAATAGCAGTATCATAATGTGAGGAACAATATAGATATTTAAATACGATTTTCTGAAAATCCAGTCTGAAGTTTAAGCAATTTACAGAAGTTCAGCCTGGGTTACCGTTGCTTGTGCAGGTAGCAAGTGCTCTTCTGCAACCACTGGGATTAGTGTTTGAGGTGGCAACAGCTCCAGGTACAAGGAGTGGGCTGCTGGCAGGGTCTGTAGAAGCCCTTCAGCAGTGGGCTGCGTTCCCAACCGATAGAAGCATTGGTGTTTCCACATGTCTCTTCTCAGATAATTACAAGCAAAATAGAATGTTGTGATGGAATCTGTGAACATCGATGTTACCAAGTGCAGTGGAATGAGGTACACTGCAAATAAGTGATGATTTGAAGATGAACGTATTTGTGCCCCCAGGGTAATTACAGCAGCACTGCAACTTGGGCCCTGGTTTCCGATTAGGTGAAAGAACTCTAGTTTATGTTGAACCAAAGATCCGGTAAGTTTTTGTGTGTGGGACAAACATGGCTGCTTGTACATCTTTACCTCATGGAATAATTGCATAAATACAGAGCATTTTTATACTGCTTTTCCCTTCATAAATGTTAAATCCTATTAGTGACAGTAGCAAGTGGTCCTCTGTTTCACCCATAGTTACAGGTAAGGAACGCCTCCAGCATCACGAGATAAAACCAGACCATCCCAAATGGGAGCTGTTTTACAAGCAGTGTTATGGACTGCCCACTTTGCTCATTGTGAGGCTTTTCCCAGGTTCTTGAGAAACATCTGAAAGAATGAAGCAAGCCCTGAAAATTGGTTTCACATATTCCTCTGGCTGCAGAGAGTAGGTCAGCTGCTTCTCCAGGAGTTCATTCATGAACTCAGTCATGTCCTCTTTCCTTCATTTATGTGAAAGCAAATCTCCGTTATTTTTTCCCCCTAGTTTTATCATGCAGTTTACATCACCTGTTTTTAGTAACTATACTGATTTCATAAGTCAGTACTGACTGTTAATGGCAAACTGCCTTAGAGTATTTCACAAGATCATGAGAATTCATAATTCTTAATGCTAATGAATCTCTTCTGTTCTGTCTCCCTCAAACAGAATATGCATGTTTTCCAGTTACTGTGAGACTGTCAGTGATAACCCATAAATAATAGTTCTGTCCTATAGTTTTGCCATGCGATCCATTTAAGTTTCTATGTTTCCACTCTCAAAGTCCCTGACAAAGGCTGTGAAAACACATGAATAATACAGTTATCTCAACGCTACCTTTTGACTATGTTTTGTAAAAGCAGAGAAATGAGCCTACATCATGCTCAGTATTTTGTACAACCTCTTTTTCCACTTCTAGGTTGTTACCATCATGGTTTATTATGACAATGTAAGCATTAATACTGTGTTTCTTGATATACTCCCTGAAATCCTTGGCTTCTACCTGTGGTTCTGGAGCTGCCTCTTCCTTCACATTACATAAACACAGCAGTGATGCAAAAGCAAATGGAGAATAAAAATACTGTGGCTGGTAACCAAACAGGTGCTCCTTTGTACTCTCATCCTCTTTCTCTAGAGGACAGTTATGAGGGGCAGCAGTGTTGATCCCCCACATGTAGACTTTTCAATGACTTTCTAACCCAAAGGACTGATGGAAAGGTGGTTGCCTGGAGTAGGTTCTTCTTCCGTATCAGTGATGGAAGAGCCCAAAGAAGACAGCTGCTGAGACCGCTTCCATTTGCGGTATGGAGAAAGGTTAAAAATAACATGCTGCAATTTCAGATCTTTTCAGACTAAAATACTGTAATCTCTAATACTGCAATCTACAGGGATAAGACAATTTCATATGGCAATAGGTTAGATAGATGTGGAAGGATTAATTTATATTTTTTGCAAATGCTTTCATTTAGTCTTGGAAAGGAAAATCTTTTTGTATTTTGCAGCATCTTTTTTGTCCTAAATAAAGCCAGATAATTGTGTATCATTAAGATGGTAACTCTGCTCTTTGAACGGAGAGTTTGAATACTTACATTTCAGAAATTCAATTCAACCATGTACATACACAAAATAGTTGATAGAGGTCTAATTATCACAGCATTTTAATTGATTTCTGGAATTTTCTATAGGCTTTGATTTTTTTCTGTTTCAAAGAAAGCTCAACTTTTTCCTTTGTGTAAGATTAAGTGCATGAGTTATGATTGACTGCAGATGTAAAATGTATATAATTGAGTTTATTGTACTGTAACAAAAGAGAAGGGAGGAAATAGGGCAGGAAACTGAGCATTCTGGTGAGAAGAGTGAATGCAAGGAAAGCCGTGTAGAAGTCTTAGCGCTTTGTGAATTAGCTTATTGTGCAACATTTTTCTGAGGACGTGTTCTGCTTTATTTTGATGCTGGGTGTATAGTTCATAAAAGAAAAATGATTTAAAAATAGTCGGCTAGCAGAGAGCTGTTGTCACCTAAGTGTGTCAAAGATACGCACTCCCAATACCTTGTCAGAAAGTAACACCCAGCTATTTAGTGTTCAATGGTTCTGCATAATACTTACCTCAGTTACATGTGGAGAGAATTGGGAAACATTATTCCTTTTTTAATTTTGACATTTAACCCCCCTCCTACATCTAGCTAGTTAGTATTTTTTTCTCCTGCGCTTGGGACTTGTAAGCTTGTACTAAGCTTGTAAGTCTTGCACTGGTCTCGAGAGCATTTCTCAGTTTGGCTGTTTGAAGATGATGAGATAACTTTTGAATGTTCTAACATGTTGATTCAAAACTTCTAGGTAACGTTTGTGTTAGTGGTGAACATAGTTCTCTTGGTGAGAGCTTTTTGCTCAGTTCAGTGAAAGCAAGAGAGCTAGAAGACCACTAAGTTACATGGGCTCTGTCTATATTGGTAGGTAAGAGGGCCAGGAACTAGTCCCTTGGCCCATGCACTGGTACCCTAACTGGCCATATCCGCACCACAGGGGTTCTCTATATGGGGAGTGAAACCTGCTTTAGACTTGTCCACGTTGTCTTCTGGGAATGGTACCTGGCCAGGACAGTTCCTTGAATTGCACCTCATGTCTGCTTTGGCAGTATGGGTCAGCACTAGGCCAGCACTCAAGCTTTCATCCTCATCTACTTAGCAGTAGAGACACAGGTGTACAAGCTGTAGCATCTTGCTAGCAATGCCATCTCCTCAACCATAGGCTGCAGAGCAAACAAATGGTTAACAGCAGTTGTAACACAGCCCCCCAGTTCCCATATCCCTGGTGCAACCTTTACTTACTCTTCCAATCCTTAAACTGCTGACAAACCAAAGAGAGGAAGGAGGAAATGGAGAGTGGCTGTCCCATGGTTTTATGTGAGTAGCTCTGGGCATGGGCATGATTACTGCAGGAAAAACATCCTTTAGCTTCAGCTTGTCTCAACTGAAAAAGAGATTCAGTTAGGGGATGTCACATAAACTTTTTTTAGTGGCTCATCTGGCACTTCCCTGGCTGAAACATCCCTGCTCTGAAACACCTTCCGTGCACCCCCCGGTTCTTCTTGTGTCCATCACTACCCTCTGCGCGGGCTCCTTCCAAGAGCCTGTCCTGTCACTCCTACTGCTTTGACCAGGCAGTACCTGCTCCTCCTAGCGCCGAGACAGGCATGTTTTGCCTTGCATTGCTCCAACTTGTTGGGGGTCTGGCTCCCTGATACCAAGTGCTTGTGGTTTGTGCTTTATCATAGCAAAGTCCTGGTCTTTGCTGTCTTACGGAGGACTATGCTCATGCAGCCACCAAAATGTACAGACATAGTAGGGGCCATCTGAAGAAAAGCAAGACAGGCCAGCCAGCACTGCTGTTCATCTTGGATAAAAGGGTGGCTCTTTGTGCTGTGAACTTGTGGAAAATGTGGAAGATAAGGGTCTGTAACCCGTAGGTGAAGTGTGGCTGTAACAGCCCGTGATCTCCTCTGTTGGTGTTGCACTTTGGGACTCTACCAATGTTTTCACTGATGTTGGTCAGCTCAGAGACTGCAAGGTGTCTGGGGGTGAAGGCCAGGCCTCAGCTGCATGACCTTGAAGACTCAAAAAAGTCCCCTATCTCTTCCAGAAAATTCATCGAAACCAAAGACCGTACCTGGGGGTGGGATCCACGCAGGAACATGTGGTGTGACATACTGGTGTGGGGGTGGGAGGGGGCTGGGCCCCATTTAAACTGCAGCATCGACAGACTTAATTCTCCTTCTCTGTGCTGACACAGCAGCCCTGGCAGGCAACGTCCTAACTCGCTGCCACCTGAGCAGATACTTATCTCGCTCTTAGCATTTCTCACACATACAATCTTGTAAAACCTTGTAATTAAAATTCTTTTATGTTTTTTTTCAAGTTCAGAACCAGGCAGGAATATTAACCACAACTGCATTTTTGCCCACATACAGGTGCATTTACTGGTCTGCCTCAAGCAGCCACTTCTTCCACCAGAGCTGACATGGCTGTGGGCTTTACCACAGTGTTTAAAGCAAAACCATTTAAATGGCAGGAAGAAATGCATGTGATTTATAATGTCATTAGTGTTTTCAGCTTTTTTTAAAAAAAAGAGGTAATCATTTCAAAAGGAAAGGCTCTTTGTATTTCTGCTGGATTATTACACAGGTATGTGGGTATCGACAAAGCAACCTTAAGCCAAAAATAAGACTAGAGATGACCCAAAACTTTCCCAGCTGGTGACACTGCCACCAGCTTGTCCTTTCCTTGCCACCAACCACCGCTTCTGGACCTAGGACTCCATTTTGACAAACAGCAGCGTTCTTGCCCCCTGTTCTGTCAGCTGCTTTTATGTATTTATCTAGTTAGACTGCACACTTTGCTTCTTATAATGCAAAATACAGAAATACATTATTTATGACAACTTAGAAGATCATGTGCATGAGAAGAAGCAAAGACTGGAAGAAATAAAAATAAATCCTAGAAGGTATAGGCAAAAACTCTTGAAAATATTTGAAGTGGTACCAATTGCTAGTAAAATGGCTGTTCATTAACCATGACACTTTGAATATAAAATAGAAACTATTTTTATTTGAGAACTCATAATGAATGTTGCCTAAATGAACAGTGGAGAACTTAAATGGGAGAACAGATGAAAAAATTGTAGGATGAAACATTCGTATTAGTTACAAAATAACTGCCAAGTCTTTCAGAAAACAGACTATTCCTAGGTACATTCTGAAGACAAATGTTAACGAACACAAGAAAAAATCCCTGCTTACCAAGGGAAGCATTACAAGATTTCAAAATAAAAATTTGTCTAAGATTAATCAAATAAACAAGACTTAAAGGCAGCAACTGTGAGTGCTGACATGTATGACTGGAGTTGCATATGGAAGCAGGAATATATAACATTTGGGGTGACACTATGGAAATGGCCCTGGTTCTGCCTTGAATCTCAGAATAATCTAGCTGAGGTTTTACTTTTTAAAGAGTGTTTTTGAAAAAAAAAAAAACCAAACAAAACTCTGGGATCTTTTTATTGAAAAAAACCCCCATGGTTGAGGGTTTTCTGATAAAGAACCTTTAAGGGGAATTCTCTGAAATGGGATCTTCCCGCTTCTCAGAATTCACATGAGAACATTGTTGTATTTTTTCCTTCAGCTCCTATTCCACTAGAGAAGGCAGCCACAGAGATGCATTTCACTCACTGGCCAGCTCTGTGAGTGCTGGCCCACCATCCCTGGCTTTCCTGATGGAGTGAAGCAAGACTCTATAGCCAATTCTTACAGCAGCCTAATGCTGGAATGGTAATTAATGGTAGGAGGGGTAGGACAGGGGGGAAGGAGCAGGTTATAGGGACAAAGTGGGAGACAGAGGGCACCCCACCTTACTCCCTGAGACCCCCCGGAAGAACTCTGAAGGAGAATTCCTCCTGGAGGAGCCTGATTCACCACAACCTTCCATGATGCCTCACAAAAACAGCTATGGCTTGAAGTCCACCAGCTCCCAGAGTTCAGGAGCTGCTGCCCCTTTTCTTCTCAAGAGCTTTCATTAGGTCAGACATGAAATCTGCTTGCCTGCCTCCACCCCCGACTGGAGGTGGCCCGGCTGCCTGTGGCTCTCCGGCTTGTTCTGTGTTTTCCAGCCTTTTTGAAGGAAGTGGCACAGGTTTCTTTGTTGGAGGTGGTGGCTTACTGGGGACAGGCAGAGGTGGAGGGGGTAATGGCAGGTCTCCATTACCACTGCTGGAGGCTGGTGGTGGTGGAGGCACAAAATCAGGAGGAGGTTCACAGAAATCAGATGGTGGCGGTGGAAAATCAATCTTCAGTGTAGGTGGTGGTGCTGGAAAGCTGTCTGGATCTGTTAGATAAACACCGCTGTCTCGTTTGACTTTGGAGGGTAGAATTGGTGAAACCGAAATAGCAGATGACCGCCTTTCAGGTGGAGGAGGTGGCTGAAGTGAGTTTCTGTTACTCTGGTACTTCTGCGGCCTCACCACTGACTGTGCCAGGCCAGGCACACTGATGTTATTTGACTTAGCCTTTAACAAGCAGAAAGAATAAAAGGACAAGACACAGTCAG